CATCGTGATATTTACCTGCAGATGCAGAAGCTACGACTGTCCCCGTGTTTACTCTTCATGCCTGCAAGATGTAAACATCCCAATCCAGGCAGAGGAAGAAAAATGCAGTTTTTCTTCATGAAGCCCAAATGTTACAGCGCATAGTTTTTCTGTATATCATTTTATCAAATACTCAGGTTTGCATTGGTTTACAAAGAAAGCATTGGAATAATATCGCAGAAATCCGATACGTGACCATAAGCAATAATGTTATCTGACAGCTCAAGTGGAAATAAGAGAGTCCGGAGGTCAAAGTCTTCAGCTTCAGTGCAGAACCGCCGGCCGGCAATGTCAGAGGCTTTCGATTCTGAACTGGCGCAGCTACAAGCTTTGGCAGCGGCATCTCTAGCTATGCGCCGTCATGATAACCGCCCTTCTTCTAGCTTGTCAAGCTCCAAGAAGTGGTATGATCATTCGTCCAGCATGGATGGTAGCTATCACCAACCACCCCCTTTTCCATCCAGCGATACAAAGGATGAGAGTGAGAGTTACTGCCGTACAACCGCCACCGAGTCGACTATACACCCACGAACGTCGGAAGCGTCCGGAGTCATGGAACAGAATAGGCAGAATATCTGCCCAGCTTCGCCGCGTCCATCCTCCTATAGGAGACTTCGGAAATCGAAATCCATGTTTACCACCTCCCACGAGTCTGAACGCTTGTGTCATAAATCCGGTAACAACCAGAGAACAAGTTCGGGAACAAGCCGTCTCTCCCGCCGTACCCTTCGGAGGTCCTTGTCCTTTTTTAGGGGAGGTAGCATGTCAAAAGCCGATAAAGAAAACCATGTAACGGCCTCCGCTTTACCAATTGAACTTGCTAGAGAACAATTCAAAAGGTCTATGGAAGAAAAGCGTGTAGCGAATGGGTCCGAGTCAATTGTTACCCGCAGTTCTCGGCAAGTCCCAAAGCCTTTCAAAAAATCCATGAGGTCAAAAGGAACGGATGCTGGGTCTACTACCCCCTCGAGATATACATCTACTGGCACCCACTGTGGGCCCAAGGGCCGTCTGTTCTCATTTTCGATTAAGAATAGCATCCGTCGGATTTTCGGGAGACGGCCATCAGGTACTCGGGAAGAGTTACCAAAGCAGCATGGAGCCCACCATGATTTTGGCTCTTTTGACGTCGGATCTTCCGAGGACTCTTACTTTGATGAATCTTCCGACTATGCTAAATACCGGGAACATCTACTGTCGCAAAATGCAGCTAATACGGCCCCAAGTGTTCGATCCATGAAGAGCTGCTCGAGCATGGCCACTTCCAACTCGCGCGTTACAAGCTGGACGGACTCGACGGCTGGTAACACACTAACTATGAAGCAGTTTCCGTCATTGACTCGGCAGGGCTTGGATATTATTCGTGAAGATAGTGATGTGTACACACCTACTCCTTCTCCAGGCCGACACCGTCATGATGGGTACTCTATTTTCCGGCAGCCCCTTGACAATACGGTTGACATTGATAGCCAACGGATGTTCTCTGCCCTCATGCGGAACATTGATGAGACTAACAACAATAGGAAAGCTAACCAAGCTCCACTAAACAAGTCAAAGGCCAGGTCAAGCCGTGATTCGTCTACGAATGGGTTCTTCCCTAACTATTAGAGCAATCAAGCAATCACCTAACGCACCCTCCGCAAGGCAGTCGATGTCTGGCTCTAGGGCATCCCCGAGTTCCCGCAGTCTCTTCTCAGTGAGATCAAGCCGCACTGTTAAACTAATTCCACAGGAGATTGCTCGCAAAAATGAGATGGTTTCTAGAAAGCGATCAGACCAGACAATTCGCGGCTTGGATCGTTTAGATCTATTAAGCACATCTATCTCCCAAAACAAGCCCACGGGAGAATGGCAAAACGAGCAGTTAGAACTGCGGGATGACACTGGGAGTGTGATCATCAATAGATCTCAAGAGGATGGAGATATTCCACTATCACCGAGTGTTTATTCAAGGACAACAGAAGTGAGGTCCCCATACAGACTGAATGTTGACTCTTCAGACTCTGATGAGGAAGAACCTGGTACTGTTACAATTCTTGATAGTCAGCGTCTCCCATATCCTCCTAGGCGTAGCAGTCAGGCTGCGAGAGGAATCAGCAGCGACTGGAAAACATGGATGAACTCTCAAATGGATTTAATTGATGCTGCTACCCGTTCGGCAAGCTTAGCAAACCCTACTTACGCTTTTCCTGGACACTACCGAGAGCATACCCAAATTAATGGCCCAAGCCCAGAGGAGCTGAAGCGCGCTTTACTAGCTCGTCGCAAGCAATCATCTCGCGAAGTACCAAGTCCCAACAGCACCGCCGGCGAAAGATCTACCAATGGTGAACCCAGGGCAAACATAACAGCAGCACTCTCTATACCAAACAATAATTTTTCACGCCCACTACGCAGTTCTCCAAATGGCAATCTGTCAGCATGCAGCACGGTAGTGCGAAAACCATCTATAACGACCCCAGCAATTCGTCACCCGTGTACTCCATTGATATGTGATAGTGAAATGACTCCGTCGCCACTATCGGTCCGAGCCAGGAGTATGTCAAGGACACCAATAACTGCCACTGTTCCTCCTCTACAGTACAATAAAACACGGCCAGCCGGGGAGGGCGCTATCTTGGAAGACTCCTCGCTTATGAATGGCGGCCAGTCTTCTCAAGGCCGATCTGGGCCGTCAGTGTCCCCTATATGTCTGACTGATGGTAAAAGTCTACTTCAGGAAATCCAGTTCAATTCCGTGCGCCCAAGGCGTGAGCAGACGAATGGTACCAAAGAAAACAAATGGGCTTCTGCTTCGTACCGCCAGAATGGCCGTCCGAATTATGCGTCAAAACTCAATGGCCTTCATAGTACGATTAGTACCAAGCGTATGGTGGATATATTTTTAAGTGAACGAAGTCAGCCGCCAAGGGGCAGTGCGGATGATAGTGCTCCTGAGCCAGCATTTTTATGAAACTGAAGAAACCATCGGATTCTATTTAGCTTAGCTTACCCTGAGTTCCTTGAACATCCCTCTTGTTGTGTTGGAATAGTGCGTACGAGATAGCATGAATTGCTATCTTTAGGTGTAAGATTAAGTCCTGCATACCTCAATCAATAATATATTTACCAAGTCTTCTTTCGTCCCTAGGTTAACAGTGGACGTAAACATATCCTATATTGGTTGCATTTCATTTTATATGGTGACAACTAATGTAGGTAACTTTCGTGCATATCTGCCATTGAATATATCCAACCAGGAACGATCAGCACCGAGAAGTAATTTATGTTGGGGAAATGATCATGTATATATCTGCGATGGTAAACTTAGAAAGATTATTCAAAATGACAAGATCCTAAGCAGAAAACGGATACATAATTATTCCATGAACGATGCGAAGTATCCAGCAGGGAGGCCCTACTGGCCATAAAACAACAAAGGTCGAAATCAGGGCAGTGTAGTGTGTATTCATGCAATTCATTTTTATGCTTTTATCTCGATAAATATTCAAGTCAAGAACAGTAGTTTGCAGGGAAGCTTCCCCTGACACCACGTAGTTCTCCCTGCCACCAGTCATCTGTACTGTCAGTTTTCTTGATGACGCGAATTCGATCGCCTTCCTTGAAGACGAGATCGCCAGCTCCTTGGCCACCAAAGTCGTAAAGTGCAGTGACGAACTGTATCTGGCTGGTAGAAGCTGTTCGTGGTGGAGGTGGGGGTGGGGGTTTCTTCTTTGCGGCCGCAGCTGCAAGAGATGCTATTCCGCCCATCGAAGGGGCTGCGGCCTGTGTTGGTTTCGTACTGGTGGGTATGGGAGGAATATAATGGGGTGTGTTATGGGGAGGTGTAGGAGCAGGTGCAAGGTGGTGGGCGCTATTATTATTATTATTTACGGACTCGTGTGCTGGTTGTTCTGACGCAGACTGGGTGTCTAGCTGCGATGACGATGTATAGCGGCCGATTCGGGGACGGGAATCCAAGGACGAAGCAGAGGGTAGGCGAGAAAGCGAGTTGGGCGAAGTAGACGGCTTGCGCAACGTACCGCCGGCACCGATAACTGGACGACCATTTGAAGAGGCGTGGTTCCCGTTCCTTTGGTCTCCAGATGTCCGTGGCTGGCGGGCTGTTTTACCGCCGGCAACGCAATTGAAGCCTTCTATCTCACGCTGCACGCCGAGAAACCCTTCTTCAAATGTTTGGATGATATCCTCCATTGGCGGCGGCGGAGATGGGAGCTGTTGTTCTTCACAGTATGTGTGAAGCACGGTATAGTAGAGGGCAAGCAATGTATTCTGAATCTCGATCTGTGCACCAAGGAGATGCGGGAGGATAGAAAAAGTGGCTGTTATTATTCCAGGGAGGACAGAGCGCAGATGGTCGTCTGCAGCGTTATAATCCTAGGTATATCAAGTTAGATACCAGCTTCGTTGCAGAGAAAGAGGGAGGACTGCTTACATCCGTAGCCTTGGATAGATCTGCCTCTGCCTTTGCTAGAGCAGCATTGTCTCTGTCAGAGCGCTTCGTCTTCTTTCTCGAGGAGTCTACTCGACCCTGATATCTTTCAAAATCCAACTATATAGACCAGTTAGCTCGAAGCACACGATATCCTGGTAGGACACTCTTCTCAATACATACCTTTTTATCCTCTCGTTTCTTGATCACTTTCTTAAGCGGCTGCAGATACTCTCTTGCGTCCATGGCCGGCCGAATAATCCGGTCATCAACCGCACTCACTTCCGCGACCAGGTCTGCCTTTAAAGAGTCGTACTCCTCTCTCAATCGGACCACACGGTGTAAGGTATGTTCGGGGACGACCGCAGGGGTATGGTCTGACGACGGCTCCGATGCGCCAACGATAGGGTTGTACAGCTGCTCGAATTCCTGGACAAGGCGAGCCTGGTAGGTGAAGATCGATGACCAGGCATCGCGCCATGCTTTGCTCGATTCGATGATCTAAGATGTTCGTCAGATTCATCTGCAAGAGGGACGGAACGGACGTCTGGTCAACCACGATATAAGTAGCAAGCAAAGACCATACCTTCTGGAGCAGCTTATCGGCATCGTCGAAGTCCTTGAGCAGAACAGAGACCTGGCTCTCGTCTGCCGAACGCTTCATGAACTTGCCAAACTGGCGATTGATGTTGAGCATGGTGGCGGCTTTTGCGAGATAACGCAGGCTGAAAGGGGGGATCCAAAGGGGTAGACTCTGCTTCGTCCCGCCGTCCGCTGAGTCTAGCAGTCTAGCTAACTAGTTTAACTGACTACCAGGCAGACCAGCGATAGATAGCCCGCGATGGATGGCACGAACCGAGTCTGGAACCCAGCTCTCCAGGGCGAAAAGAGGTGGCAGTGGAGGAGACGAGGGCGAAAATTTAGCCAACCCGTCAACTAGTCAACTGGTTTAATTGATTGATCTCGAGCATGCGCACGGCGGGGTCTGGCATCGACGAAGAAAAGGGCTCCCAGGATGCAGAGCCGCTCTGCGCTCCGCCATGTGTAGAGACAGATGGATGTCTGTCTGTCCTCTGGCAGGGAGGAAAAGGAGAGTGAGTAGGCAAGAGAAAGAAACCTGCTGCGTCACAGAGTCAAGCGCGAGCCCATCCCCTGCTGTTTCATCAGCTCCAGCACCGCCCTCTGTGCGACTTGTTGGATCCCACTTTTAACTAACTTATACCTGCAGGAAAAAGGACCGTACAGACCGAGCGATTACGCGTTAACGAGCTACTTATTAGCTGCCTAAGCATATACGCCAAGTGGTGGAGTTCCGTCGACATGGACTTCATAGCTGGGGGGGGGGGGGGGGGTTGTCTTCTGGAAGAGCATATTCTAGCTAGACGGTACAATACGACATGCTTGCATTGAAAACACAGTCGAAGGGAAGAAAAGCTCTGCTTCCCTCTTAGCAGTTTGGCCTCGCGGTCAAGAGATGTCCCATCATTCCGCTAATGCCATGCAATCCGTGGCTCGTCTTCATAGGAAGTCTTGCATTGCCCAAGCATCCTGGCAGATTTCTCTAAAGTCAGCCTTTGTGATAATGACGTCCCTTTCGTTAATCTCGTTTCTTTGCCGGCCGACGACCTCCTCAAAAGTCAAGGTCATGTCGCCAGTGACTTCGGTGGTATCCTCCTTGCGAGTTGCAATGATTTCTTCGACAATGGAAGCAATTCCTCGGTCAGCCTTCCTTGCCCACTTATGGAAAATGATACAGGGGGCTTTCCGGTCGATGTTTGCGGTGACAACCACTCGGGTCTCTGACCCATCTGTCTCCAGCCACCCCCTAGCATCCATGGATAGCTTCCTCCCCGTTTCCAATAGCCCAGTCTCTACGACTACTGTCGGCCATTCGTGATGGAGTGGTCTGAGGCTACCGTCTGGCTCCTTGACGAATCTTCCGGTCTTGCTGGTGACTCGGCTGCTGCGAGTATCAGCCAGCCTGTCTGGAAGGCCCATTTCTAGGACCCCAACCCTGATGTAGAATATCAGATCGCTCGCGACAGATTCATGACCAGGCTTCGCCATTGTTTTGATAATTAGCAGTCTTTCTGGTAGATTGGCCGTAATTCGAGGGCCTTTATCGAGGTACTCGGAATCGAAGTCGTCGAGTATACTTGGAGGCACGTCTACTACTACGAGAAAAGGGCTCTGATCATCTTTATAGCACTCCTCCACTGCTGCCCTGAGGTCCTTCATATTGGTATATCTGATCTGGCGTGTTCCTCCAGGAAGCCCAGTCAATAGGCTTAAGGAGGCTTCACCCTGGGGTATTGTTGCCCCGTCTGAATAAGACATGGCGAGAGTCTGCAATATAGATGTGCTGTATTTATATATTTCAGAATGTGAATACAATACAAAGATATAACAAGATGTATGTTGGTCAACACGGAAACATATTTATATGACATCAAGAAAACTCAAAATACCTAAATATTGATACTTCTTATTCATACTCTATCGCTAGCCTAAAGAGGACTAAAGTCCTTCAAGCAAGATACATAGTGGATTTCTTAAGGATACCAAAACCATAAATTGCATTGAGTACTCTATACTTCCCTTACCAGGAGGCCACATCAAGTAGGAGACAAAAAGTGAGTCCTGCAGTAAAGGCCAGCTGCACGAAGGTTCCATCAGATAAGGACGATATAAAGTGGATAGAGTAACCGCAGATATAGAATTCAGCTGTCGATGTATTCTCACTTCTATAGAACTACTCCCGTCTATGGCCCCCGAGCTAGGGACGGGGATCTATAACTAGTTGGTTATAATCAACAGGTAGTTTTTAGTCAACGGCCCCGAACTCTATCATAATTCTCCGTCCTGGGCCATGTTTAGTGGATATGAAGATCCAGACCAGGTTGACGACAAAGAACAGCCACGCAGACCATTTGCATCAGCTGAATATTCAGTCTTCGCATCGAAAAATAGCCAGAATCTCGCAGTTTTTCACTCTTTAACAAGTCGTTGAAGTCGCAAATTTCCTTCTTTGGACTCGAATAACACTGCTTAGTAATCATGGTTTTATCGATAAGATATATATGACTAAGCATAAATCACGCTTTGACGCGTTTTAACTCAAAGAGGAAAGTTTTGATGTCGAGGCAGCCATTTTTGCATTAAAAAACAGTCAGATACACCATCAGAAAGGGGATTATCCGGGGGGCAGGACAAGGATATGAGGAGGCGGACGCACGAATCTATAATACCAGGCGTCGAGACTGAGCCATGGCTTCCCAAAGAATGAGCCTCTCGGTCCCGCCAATTCAGAATACCGCGCCGGTGATCAAATTCCAATGCCTCTTCACCCACGATATCAGGCGGAAAGCGAAAAGGTGGCAGGATGGATTTCTCCGGTTTCATACGTTCAACAAACGCGTTATGGTCTATGACACCACCGGGAATCTGGTTGGGGACTTACACTGGCGAGATCGTGATATGCTGCAGGATGGGGATGAATTCGAACTGGAGAGAGGTATCCTCGTCCAAGCTGGCGAGCAACTCGAGAGTACAGTGACCGATTTGACAGGGCTGCTTGAGAAACGGAAGTCATCCCCCGCTAAACCGGACCACTCTCAATCCCGCCCAAGGAATGCCAATGTTGGGCGGCCGAACGATTTCAAAGCTCCTTTTCCATCCAGCGGCTCGAGTATGAAGTCTTTAAACGAGGTGCTTGGGATTAAGAAGAGTACGCAACCAACAAGAGTGATAAGATCTCCCTATGTAGAACGAGAGAGATTAAACAAAAGCATATGCGAATCCGAGGAGAGACCGGCCAAGAAGCGAAAACCGTCTCCTGAGAGTGACACGGAGGAGCCATCTCGACTGTCCCCTTCACCACCGCCGCGGCCGACAAGGGGCTTTAAACCCCAATCAAGACCTAACGTGGAAGAACCGGTTACTAATAGCAAGCCTCGCAAAGCCTCTGACGCTGAACCTCGTGCTCCGGGTGGGGTTACAGACCTATGTAATAAGATATCAAATGAAAGCAACCGCCCTGGCTTTGCATCGGCCTCGACTGCATCATTCCGACCAGCGAGTGCAGTTGAGCCAGAGCCAATTTCGACAAAGGATCGCCGAAAAAAGTCCAGTGGTAAAGCGTCAGCAAACCAAATGTCTCTCACATCCATGTTTGGCAATGTTCCAACCACGACCCTTGAAGTTGCACCCAGGCGACCTCGCAACCAACTTATTTTTGTGGACAAACTTGCGGAACAACTAGCCAAAGCAAGAGAAAAGAGGAAACTCGCCGAAAATAATACAGTCATGAACTCAGAATCATCCAAGAGAGCGGATACCCTGAAAGCTCCGTCCGCTTTGATGCCAAGGGATAAGAATATAACCTCATTCCAATCTAAGGAACAATTGTCTATAGATGGGAATAATGACGGTGAGGCCCCTCGTGTGCAACAAAAGGCAACGAGCTTACTGGGATTTTTCAAGCCGGCTGCGGTTACGACCCAAGGACAAGAGATTCAGCATGATGACGGTGAGGAGGCTACTGTGGCAGAGCCAAAGCCTTCTAGGCCCATGCAGAATATACAGCGGAGTCTTTCAGTTACAGATTCCATGCCGGTGAATACTACAGGTTCAGCCAAGGCCCCGGCCCTGGAGGCGCCTGTCCCTCATGTCGAATCCGGCGTACAGAATGCACAGCCAAAAAAGCATGGGCCCCTTGAAAGGTCCATCTCAGATTCGTCGGCCCTAAACCCACCCCGATCTTTGCCTAAAAAGCGAGTTATCCAAACAAGGCTTTTCCCAGATCGGATACTAAGCCTACCAGCAATAGACGAGCCTGAGGTTGAAGTCGAACAAGGACCCTGGACGTCCGAAGCACTAGATCTGTTCGACTGGTGGCCCCCAGATCGACCTAAACCCACAGTTGGAAGCATCCCTATATAGAACTTTCACATCCGTAGTTATTTTTGGCTCCGACATATAGCTTATGATTAACGATAGAATATATAATACCCCTCTTTATACCTCCCTGCATTTCCTGGGAGCTATATCCAAGCATTATAGATGCAAAGCACACGATTAGGCGTAGATATTACCCTTCATCCTCGCTTAACTAGAGTTCCAGAGATGTAGGGCAATGGTCCCGAGGTAAACGATAAGTCTAGGTCAACGCTCCCCCAACCACCGTCAACATCCGCAACGGCCCGAAGCGTACGCTCTGTGTCTCTGTCCAAGTTGCATCCACCCATGAAGAAACTCCAGCCTGAAAGGCCATATATAGCCTGGACAAATCTTGCAACCCAGCTTCCCTTAGCTGTGGTCCAAGGATTCACGACATGCTCGCAAACAAGCATCTTCCCGCCGGGTTTGAGCAAGTCATAAAGACTCTTTACCGTCTTTTCTGGCGTATGAACTGAACACAATACCCGAATACAGACGATAGTATCAAAAAGACCTTTCCCCTCATTGGTCTCGTCATTGAGTGCGCCGGCCTTCTTCAGCGCCGGAAGTAGAGACTCAGGCTGGGCTCCACAGTGTAGAACTCGGTATTTAGATGCTAGACCGCAAGACTCAACCTTAGCATAAAGGTCCTTATGCAGTCCTACGCATGGCTCTGCACCATACATGACCCGTAAATTCGGGTTTGTGAAGAGCGGCGTCTGGGTGCCGGTTCCAGGACCGATGTCGAGAACAACCCCATCCGCATGCGCGAGAAGTGGTGGTATAAGAAGACTAGAGCCAGCGGGCTCTGGAGCAGGCGCATTTGGATCCCCGTTTGCTCTAGCAGTCGAGAAGTCGATCCAGAACCTTGAAAAGGCTTCATCTTTGATCTCTTGCATATTGAATATAGGTGCGAGTAGCTGGCCACGCAGGATAGTTTCCAGCATCACCGTCATAAAGCCTAGATACATAGTCAATACACTGCGTAAGACGGGCCTTTTCATCATGTACGAGGGATTCAATCATGTTTCTCTACTTACTGTAGGCAGCTGAGACGCCTAGGTAGCCTGGCTCTGCAAGCTCATTTATACGCTCAACAAGAGTCGGCATATTTGGTTATCGGGAACTCGTTATACCGGATATAAAGCTAGTCTAATAACCCAGATAAAGTGAAAGAAATGTGTCCAGGTGTGAATTGGAGATTATGAGGAAACAACCCTGGCTAAATAACTCAATGTTCGGGGTCCATGGTTGCTTTTATATCCTCGGGGAGGGCAAGGTTTCGGGAACTCGGGTACTCTATATATCGTTTGTTATCAGAGCCGACTAACTATTTAGTTATGGAACTATTGGTTGACAATATCTCGAATTTGATACTAGCAGAGGTCTTATACGGCCTCTATACTCGGCTTAAATAGGGGCCTCAGACTATATCAAAACGTCCACTTCTGCCGGAGTAAATAATCTCATTTGAATACAAACTAGGGTACTATCTTAACCAGTATCGCTATGAAAACAAAGCACAAAAGCCAGAGAGTTGATTGATATTTGTTTAGTTAGGTACGTTTAGGATGGGAGAAGATAGAGAGATGTTTGAGACGAGTCGAAAAAGCCGGGAACGAAATAGATAGGACAGGGTAAAGATTAGTAGTTATAACAGTCCACCTTGTAAAGTGAAGGGAGGAGGGCATGCATAAGTAAATCAAAGAGAGAGAGCAAGCGGTCCAAGAAACAAGGACTTGGCCAATCTGACATAGGAAACAAGTGTAAGTAAAACGCAAAGAAAGCTAATTGCCAAACAGCGACGAAAAAAATCTGCAAAGCAAAAGAAGTATTCACAGCTGCGGAAAAAATAAAATAAAAGAATTTGGAGCAGGAAAAGGGTAATGGGCAAGGTAGTATTGGCAGAACGATCGTACAAGAAGTTGGTACATAATTGTGAGGAGGGTAGGGTTCCGCCTTGTTCAAAGGTGAAGATATAAGTATAAGCACCAAGGAGAGCAATGCTCGAACACCAGGCACATAATACACCATCCTGCAAAACAATTAGCGTAACAAATCAAGAAAGGGTCAAGGCCAAGGTAGACCAAAACATAAATATGAAGGGAAGATAAGGAAGAAGTAAGCATGGCAAAGTATTACAAAGCTATTGTAGAGTGAAGATACGGCATGATAGCCAGACACGTCATGAATGAAGACCAATTAAGGAAATTCGTAAAAGGTGGACAATCACCAAGGGTTGGGACTTTTTGCTGCTTTTAGTACTCCACGTTCATGGGAAGATAGTAATAGGTATCATTTGCAGAAATGTTCTTTTCTATAAGCATAGGTTGGGCGGACGGCCAACCTAGGAATGCGAGTGATTGCTCAGCCTTGAATTGACGAAGCGGCTGGTTCTTGAAAGGGAGCCAACATCATGTTTGCCTAGGGAAGGAGAAAGTTAGCACAAAAAAAAAAATGACAAAGGGAAAGGAATTTAATCTTACCGTCACAACAAGCGCGGACATTCTCTATTTTGTCGGCCTCTCTTTCCTGTCTTTCTAAGATACGTCGCAGATCTTCGGCGCTGTCTTCTTGGCTTGTATCGTCTACACTTCCCCGCTTGCCACCATACCGACTTCGACGGCTGGAGAACGTTCCCATCATCCCGGAGGTTTTGAACATGCTGCTCAATCTCGAGACGGAGCCTTGTCGGGCCTGTTCAGCCCTCATGGTACTATCAGGCGGTCGAACTGAAAGAGATGGCGATTCATGGCCGGGAGTTATATCGTACCCACGGGCCATACCTCGGGCTGCTCTGCTGCTATGTGACGCGGCAGATCGTCGCGAGTAGTCAGTCATGCGGGATGATCTGCCGTTTAGAGAAGGGTTGAAGTCAAGTGGGCCATCTTCTGGTGTGCTGTGCAGAATAAAATCCCCTTCTTCTTCATTCGCCCGCAAGAGGAGATATGAAAGTGCGTTGAACCAAGTCTCATGGCGTTGGCTGGTGGCAGCAGTGAACCTCATGGTTCTGCCGGGAGTAACCACTTCCAAACTCTTGCGGTGAAGGCCTGGAGGATACGGGTTATCGTCAGTGACAACTCGAACAGCTTCAATGGCTACGCTCTTGGCCATCAACTGAGCTTTGCTAGCAGTCTGCGGGCTCTGGGTACTCCAGTACAAAGTCCTGGTGAATGGATGGACCCAGAAGTATCGTCTATGTCTTGTCTGGGAGAAGTCTGGTCGGCCTGGCTTGCGAGTGTACTTCCAGAGGAACTCTCCAATCATGGTCTGCGTGATGGCTTGGATCATGCGAGGATCAGTGCCGGGTTCAAAGCCGTATTCCGACCTTGACAGATTGAACCGATCATCAAGCTCGGAGGCAAACGATGAAATCGAAGAGCGTCGGGAGGCTGCACCGCTGTGTTTGTGCTGAGTTTTTGACCCATTGCTTCCTTGAACAGTGGCGGTTCCCGTAGCTTGTTCGTTGGGTGTCCTTGGTCGAGATGCTGGAACTCCTGATCGATAGGCAGAGGCCGGGGCTACCGGAGGCCCCATGGTACCGAGACCACCTGTTGGGCTCTCTGTTGATAATCTCTGAGCGGCGGCAGCAATTGCTTGCTTGTGGTCTGGTGGAAGAGGCGGGTGGACCATAGCACTACGTCGGCTTCCTGCGCTCCCAGGTCTTTTGGCGGCAGCGTTGGGAAGCAGGAAATTGTCGTTAACCGATGAGGGCTGTGTCTTGGCTCTAGGGGTGGCCAAGGCAGCTTCCTCTAATGAGCCGGGGAACGCAGAGACTGGTGCTCTCGACTCTGGCGTCTTCGGTGGTGGCATGACATATTTGTCTAGCAGGAGAGAATCGATCTGCTTGCTGGTCAAGATAGTCTGAGCTCCATTCTCTGTGACACTGGTACGCGCAAATGAACGTAATGGTTGTTCAGACTTCGCGGAACCGGTAACCTCCGTAACGAACTTGGGCGGCGGCATCATTTCGCGTGATGATCCCAAGGACGAGGGAACCTCTGTATCCTTATCATGGACAGCAGTTCTCGGTCTTCTTGGAGAAGTCTCTGTCTCTGAGCCTGTACCTAAAGCAACTACCGGTGGAATAACCGTAGGCGCGGGCTTTGGTACGACTGGTGTAGTAGACTCGGCATAAATCGACGACATCTCTAGATGGATGGATGGCTTGACAACTTCAGGCTGAGTGGGAGGAGAAATTGGTGGTGTGTCGATAGTTTGAATAGAAGATGCCATGTATTTCGGAGGAGTGCAAGGAACAGGGAGAGCAGCCGGGATTGGAAGAGGAGTGACGGGACGACATTGCTCAAATGTAACATCAGAAAAGGCGAGTTGCATTGAGCTTCGTCGCGGCTGTTCAACAACAGGTGCCAGAACAGGGGTCGTTTCTTCGAACACTATTGGTGAATGTTCCAGTTTGATGGGCTCAGGGGCCGGTTCTGGATCAGGAGACGACGAAGTTATAGGAAGAGGAACGGGGATAGGTGCGATAATATCGCGGGATCTATCCTCCTCGGCGGGTGTGGCAACTGGAGGAGAATCGAACATGACCATGGCTTCGCTTTGTACCATGTCTTGAGGCTTTGCAGATGCATACTGAGTTGCCATGTCCACCGCGGTAGACTCTGAAGGTTCCGCCGGCGGTGTATCATGGATAACTACTAGTCCACTTTGAGCCATTGGTTGAGATTTGACAGGGGAACATTGGGTTGCCATATCTACTGATTTGACAGGCTCTGACGGAAGAGTGCTGAAGACGACCATGGCATCAGTCTGGGTAATAGGACAGTGTTTCGAATCAATAGACTGCGTTGAGCTGTCGACAAGGACTGCAGATGTTGTGGAAGTCGTTGCATTCGCGGTCTGAGGAGCAAGAGTCTGTGTGGCTACAGTTCCATTTGCAGGAGCAGGAGCAGGCCATGGCTCAGTCATCATGGAAGAGTCGACCATGGCTACACGAGGTGACTGGTCGGCATCTTTATTTTGCAAGAAGCTGAGATTGCGAATAGGGGTAGATTCAGCTGAGACAGGATTATTGTTGGGTTGTTGCAGCGGGCTCCCGAATTCACCATCACTGCCCATGCCGGCTTCACCAAGCTCCGCAAAGAGGCTTCGTCCACCCTCAACTCTAGATTTGGGACTATGCAGGCTGCCGCCGGGAGATTGGGTTTCGTAGCCCATGCTTCCGCCCGCCTGGATCGTCTCCTCGGACGATCTTGCGTGTCTGCCTCTTTGCATCTTCAAGCGGTAGCGAGGCGGGTGGGATTGCACAGGCGTATGCACTTCATTGTAGGGGTAATCATCCTCATCAGCGGATGTAGATGCAGTGCTCATGAACGAAGAGCGATCGCCAGCCTTTGCGTTTCTGAGTTTATACGGCTTTGTGCGAGGCAATTCAATCTGTCCAACTGCGCGGCCTTCCGTTTCTGTGAGCTCATCGCTACTGTCTCCCGCCATATCTTCAGTGCCTGTCTGGAAATTCTCACTTTCAGTCGCTGTCTCGGTTTCATGCGCGGTCTCAAAGCCACCGTCTTCAGTTTCGTTTGCAGTCTGGTATGCATCACTTGCGCTTACGTAGCCAGAGCGAGGACGGGGCCGAGGACGGGTATAGACGACTGATGTCTGCCTTGGTCGCACAGTCTTGGTAGGGCTGGGCTCCATGACCTCTTCATCCTCCCAATCAGGCTCATCCAGTTCAATTTCGGTGATACCTCTCCTACCGGCACCAAGCATATCTGGACGCGGAGGTTTCTTGAAGATCTCCGCCTTGGTCTTTTGGCGCCTCTGTGCACTGCCGTGAGCCGCAGCTATTTCATTTCTGCGGGCTTCGAGGTCATCGCGGGCCTCTTGTAGCATGCGCTTGAGTTCAATCTTCTCAGACTTTTCACGGTGAATGTTGCTCTTGAGGTTCTGAATCATACGGTGGGCATGATGGAGAGAGCTCTTGAGTGTTTCGGACTCCAAGTGACCGTGACGTGGCGTGGCCTTGTTGGGTGATGGAGGAGGGGAGTTTTCAGGGGTATCTTCATCGTCGTCATTGTTTTTGGTCTCCATGTCGACGTTCCTAGTAGGTTCAGATTCGTGCTGTCGAAGTTTGGCGGCTACAGCCTTTGCAAGCTCCTGGTTCTGCCCGACTAGTTCGTCAACCTTCTTTCGCAGATTATTACGTTCAGCATCTCCCGTGTTGAGGTTGCGTCGCAAGATGTGCAGTTCAGAATCATGGGCTTTTTGGGCTGCAGAGTGCTCCTCAATGAGTTTTCCGTTAGCCTGCTTGAGCTCGTCGAGCTCCCGCTGGACACTGTTCTTCTTCGCAGTCAGGGCATTTAAATTGGCAGTCAGCCTATTCTCACGAGCAGCAGCTTCCTTGGCGGCGGCCATGAGTTCATGGGACTGTGTCTCCAGTCTCCAGTTCTCATCTTTGTACCGTTGTTCACTCTCATCTAGGGATCTGATGCGCTGGGAGAACCCTTCGGCTTCAAGCTCGAGCCTGGATTTTTCCAAGTTCGTTTCGCGGAGAGCCTCATCCCGCTCGGCAAGGAGAGCCTGAAGCTGGCGGACTTGTGTGAGAAGTGAGGTGCTGATTTCGGTAGCGAACTCAATGTCGTGGATACGGCTAGCAGGCTGGTTGCGTTGTCTTCTGGACGGAACGCTCACTTTGGAGGGCGAATTGGTCGCCTGGCTTGACAGGAATGCTGGGCTTGAGGGAGTCTACTCCTGTGTTAGCAGGTACATTGATATAAAGCTATGCTATGTATGCGCGTGTGATGGCGATCTTACCCGACTGTCGAGGGGCGTATCTTCAGGCGCGAGCAGCCTTGGCTTGGCACCAAAGGTTGTCCTGGCCGACTCACGTCCGACCTCATTGTAGTCTCTCTCCAAGGCGAGCAGCTTTTCACGCAACTCAGGCCCGATCTCACCTTCATCTTCCTGCTGTTCGACTTCTTTTAGCTTATCAGCGAGTTCCTGCTGCTGGCGGACGAGAGCAGTGCCAAGCTTGGACGTCTCCTCTAGCCTCCGGTCCGTTTCAGCGAGGTGAATTTCCAGTGCCCGTTTCAGCTGAGAAGGTGAAGACGAGTTCAGGGTCAGGAGCTGGTTGTCGAAGGACGAGTAGCGATGCGGTTCCCGTTGTGACTGGACAGCGGCCAGGGGGGTTGCCACAAATGGGTCGTCCATGGCTGACTCGGGCCGTAATCGAAGATATAAGTCGTAGTCGATGGGGGGCGGAAAACGAGTGCGGGTGATATCGCTGCCTGCTTTCTCGTTCCCTTTCCTTTTCCCCCCCTCCTTTTTCAATAATCTTCCCCGGCTGTCTTCTCTCCTTGGAATTCTCAGTATCTGCTACAGAGAATTCAGGCGTGCGACCTCATTATAGCCTGCCCGGAGCCCAATCCGCAATGCGCAATGTGCCCCCCAACGGGAGTCGACGAGGGCTCTTTTTAGTCCTTAGGGACGAGCAGACATCCGATTCAGCGGGAGAATTACGGAGGGAAGAGGCAGGCGAGGGCTCTAGTCGCCTTTTAGTCGTGAGATGCAAGGGGGCTGGCAGGCTGGCAGGTCAGGCTTCTTGCTTGCTCTCTGGGGGAGCCAAGGTGTGACGTGGGTTTTTTTGTTGTTTTTCCCCCTTCGCTGGGAGATACGCGTATCCGGACGCAGGGAAAAGCCGCCAGTTTAAGACGGGGAAGCAGATATAACAAAAGAAAAACAGCAAGGAACAAGCAAAAGAAAAAGAAGACGAAGAAGAAGTAAGTGACAAAAGAGTGACAGAGATCGCGCGCTGCTTCGCCGGCCGTGAAGAGTCGCTGGCGTGCAGAAGCGAAGTCGAAGTCGAAAGCGACGAAAAGAGGAAAAAGCGCGAAGGTTTTGTTGATGCTGACTAAGACCGCCGATGGCTTGACGATCTACGAGATGGGCGAAAATCAGCGGCGGACGGGAAGAACGTGCAAGGGCTTGCTCTTGTTTCCTGCTCGCTTAGCACGATAATAATAGCAGTCTGAGGGCAATAGCTGCGGTGTTAAGCAGCTAACGATTAATGCAAGTCATAATATCTCGATTATAATGATATTAATCGCAGCGTTTATTATCTTTGTTTTCTTCCCGCCGGCCAGGGTTAGGATTATGTAAGTGAACATTATGTAATGGTTTATTAAGTCAATTGCTTATGTAATTAATTCTTTCTCTCGTAGCTTCTTTCTCTTCAGGCCGTTAGATGTTAGAGATATTAGATATCATTCTTCTTCTCTCTCTTACGGCTTTGTCGGCCTTCTGTACGGAGTGCGATAGTTGTCTCTCTTGCCTCCATTGATGCATCCCGGCTTTCTCTCGCTTTCTGCGTCATAGGTGCCTCTTCCTTCGTTGATAATCTCGATACCAAGTTTCGTCCATAAAGACAACACGAAAAAACGAAGATTCAGACGAACAAACAAGTAAAGAGATAGCAGATAAAGATAAGATGGAACAATCAGTCGCTGAAGAACAGACACCAGCTGTCTCGTTCAAGAAACGGTCCGCCAAAGCCAAGTCCAGCCTGCGGAAAAAGGCAACCACTCCTCCGCCAGCATCCGACTCAGAAGACTTCACATCCAGCGACGACGAGCAGGGCCACAGGATAAAGCGCAGGCGGAAGAATGCGGGGGTCAGCGCCTCATCTAGGACAGCAGCAGCTTCTGCGGGCCGAGAGCTAGACAGCGAAAAGCCAGAGACGACCGAGCGGCCGGCTCTCCCTACCACCAACGATGCCACAAAGCAGTCTAACTGGTACGATGAGGAACTAGACGAGAAGAATCTGCTAGGAAACACACGGCCACGACTGGGGGACACAGGCCAGGCCGCGGTAGACGGCAAATACCGGGGGACGTCAAACTATCGGAGCTTCATCCAGAAGAACCCCAATGCGCCCACCAAGCAGGTTGGGCCCATGAAAGCGGCCACCAACATACGCACCATCACGGTCACCGATTACGCTCCAGACGTTTGCAAGGACTATAAACGGACAGGATGTAAGCGATTTTTTTTTTCCCTCTTCTTTACACATGCTTTTTCATTGTACATGCTGACAATAATCAGTCTGTGGCTTTGGTGATTCATGCAAGTACCTCCACGCTCGTGAGGATTACAAGGCAGGATGGGAACTAGACCGAGATTGGGATGTACAAACGGAAGGCAAAAAGCTAGATGGTCAGACTGTGGCCTCTCGTCGAGGCGGAGAGGACGAGGCTGGCGAGGATGAAGAAGATGAGGAAGAGGAGGGCATCCCGCCCGATTGCGCTATATGCCATAAGCCGTACACGAGCCCGATAGTAACAAAATGTGGGCACCATTTCTGCGAGCTATGCGCGCTAAAGAGATACCGGAAGAATCCAGACTGCGCCATATGTGGTTCCCCGACCGGAGGGCTGTTTCGTGCCGCAAAGAAGCCGGGCATACGTGGCCAAAAGGTGGAAAGCTAAGCAGTTTGACGCTAATGAGTTGACATATGATACCCATGTGCAATATTCATTTGCCTCATTGCCCAACTCAAGAGTAATCTGTACATCTAATCATTGACATCATACGCTGGGAACTGCTGTCTATATATAAAGGCCCGTTTCTTTCCCTGTTCATCATTTTCCATTCTTTTCTCTCCCTTTTCCTTGTATAGAATGAATATTTCAACGCTCCTTCGTTAAACAGCCAACCAATGATGTGCTCGGATATTGTGGACACAACGCGTCTGAAGTGGCTGCTCCAACCAATAAGCTTCGCATATTTTGTCGACAAGCGAGCAACAGACGCGGCTTTCGACATCAACACTCAGGTCAAACACGACTCAACACCCAATGGGCTATAGACAAGAAGAAAATGCAGTCATAAACCAAGACTGCACTCCTTATTTGCGTCTTATGGTCATAGCCATAGTTAATACGTCTTGGCCTACGTTCACTTCAACTAAGTACTAGATGTTTCCATGAGGAACGTACCAAGACTCTTCGAGCATATTGTCTGCTGAATGCGACGGTGGCAGTGGCCATCTTCCAGGACAAGATACCCCCAGAATTCTATGTGATGCGCAATCAATCACGTACAACGCCCCCGAAATTGCGCAACTACCTTTGCATGATGACATGTCTGTCGAGGAGATACACTCACAATGACCATACCATGGGCAAAGGAATGCTTAAAGTGGCAGAAACATGGATGAAGAAGGGCCAGCGCGTCATGTAGATGAGTTTGGGACGAAGATGCGGCATTCAAAACTCACAAAAGCTGCCGATTTTCGTGGTTTCCGCCACAGCGTCCCGATGTTTAGACACAGTTAATGACAAGCCAGAAAAGATAGTTAAGGAATGATGAAGGAATCCTCGTTGTACGCAGTAGATTGCTGCCCCATGTCTATCGATTCATGGACTCCATAATTCTCTCCGTTTACCCAGGTATCATCCAGCCTATATAGGGCCAAAGAAGAATCAGAAGGAACAGAATGTCAAATGAAAGGTGCCATCCCACGAGCCTGGTTCTTTGGTCGTTATTGCCCGACGCAATCGCTATGATGCCGTCAGAAGGAGCGATGAGTCACGTCCGTTCCATGTTAACTGGATGACCGCCACTACATCGCTCCTACCTGGCTGAAAATATCATGGCTCAGACCGTTAGCCGGGGTTTTGCCAGAGGAAGAGAGGAAGGAGCCCCAAAGAGCAGTAGCGGCGGCAAATTACCAGTGAATAGAGGGTGCCACCGCGTCATGTCCACTTGCCTATGATGCTCAGTGAGTCATAAGTGGCATCTACTATGACGGCGCATGGCAAACTGGCTCCCGAGGGGCGTGCGTGATCTCCGAGAGGATCTGTCTACTTAAACCTCGTCCTTCTCCTTCTCCCTCCTTCCTCTCTTCCTCTTCTTTTTTTTTTTTTTTTCTCTTTCTCATCTGTAGCCATCTATTCAGCCATCTTTATCCAGCTATACCACCCATCTATACCCATCTATACCCATCTGCTGCTATCTCTGCTATATATACCCATTTCTGCTATCTCTGTTATCTCTGCCATCTCTGACATCTCTGCCATCTCTGCTATCTCTATTATCTCTGCCATCTCTGCCATCTCTGCCATCTCTGCTATCTATACCCATCTTCTGCCATCTTTTACTATTTCTGTCATTTCTGCTATCTCTGCCATCTCTAATATTTATACCCATCTTCTGCCATCTCTTCCATCTATACCTATCTACCGCTATCTGGTGCTATTTCTGTTATCTATACCCATTTATTGCCATTTATTGCTATCTCTATCATCTCTGCCATCTATATTTATCTACTGACATTTACTGAAATCTATCGATATTTACTGCTATCTCTGCCATTTATCAATATCTATAACCATTTATTACCATTTATTGCCATATTTTGCCATATGTTGCCATATATGTGATGACGGCCCCCGGGCCTCCCCTCCCATTCCCCCCCACTTCTCCAATCCCCCTTGCCTTCTTCCCTTTCCTCCTTGTGTTACACGATTGTCCGCTCTGAGAACCAAGGCTGACACTCCACTCTCGCATGAACTATAGTTTCACATCCAGCTACGAACCTGAGACCCTCGAGCCTCCTTACGGTGAGTTTTCCATTACTACACCTGTTAGAATGGCTTGCTAACAACTACCACCAGATACCTTTGACGGAAAGGGCCCACGCCCCCCCCCCCCCGGAAGCAAAGCGAATTTACATACATGGGTCTGGGAGCCAACGCTAACATCCTTCTATTGCGGTGCCTACACATTTACAACCGCTCGCTACACCTATCAAGATAGCATAAGAGGCTTTCACGTCACCTTCCCACTGTGAGTTCAGAGGTCTTCTATACCCTTATCAGGATGACCTGCATACTGACTTATAGAAAGTATGAGCGCTGCCAGACAGAAACGGGGTGGCCGCTGCCCCCCTGTGAGTAGAATATTTCCCCGTGGAAGGCCAAAGCGCACTGCTAACACCCCTATAACGCTGAATATGGCCAAAAAAAATCCATCAACTCAGAAAGCCTTCAGATTAGAATATTACAAAGCTAGGCGCGTTTTCACTCCCAGGTATGACATTCTCCAGACTCCTGCGCCCCAGTCATTGTACAGGATGTGCTAACAATATGATAACCATCTTGGTTGTCCAAACCAGAGAGCTGGTTTATATGCATCAGCTACATTTAGTTGTCAACCTTGATGGCAGTGGGATGGCTCAAGTAATGCTCTAGAAGCTACAAGTCACGAAAGCAATGTGATGCAGAATGGTTGCTAGGATGAGAGTGGTCTTGACAGGAAGAAGGAAGCTAGAGAGATAGGAAGTGGATGTGAGGATGGCCTTATGGACAACAGGTTCTTGGAAACATGAGTAGATAGCTTATCTGAGAACCTGCATGTCTCTCGTTTGACGTGCTAAATTTATCTTTGTCTTTCTCCATTTCTTCATATTATGACCCTCTACGCGTCTATCAATATTCTACCAGTGTAACTCTCCATACCAGCTCTCAGATGTACATGATAGCGAACTCATCGACAAGATCGAGTCCCAAGCGTGGTAGTCAAAATAAGATGGCAGTTACACCAGGCAGACATCCTCGCCTGCCTGGGATGCCATGCAGTTACTCTGTAGTTGACTGCTTTTCAACGCTAGGATGAGACCACCACTTTATGATAACTGCAGCCCCGATGCTGCCAGTCGCACGCCTATCGGATAAAGGGACACATTATCAGCTTGTGAAGAGCAGCCATCGCATGCTGCCTTTATCTCGGTGTTTTTTTGGGCCTTTGAGAGAGCTGAACAGCCATGCCAGCCACAGCGACGAAATCGAGGATGACAATGAGGCTATCGGCCACTATAAACACGGCTTCAGCAGCAAAATCTATTCCAACAGCCCGCGATGTTGTCACCCGAAGGCTCATCGGTTAAACGACTTAGATTCCAGTGGCCAAAAGTCTGGCAGTTTCAGATCTCGATAACTACGGAGTGCTCCAAGAGGTCTTGTCCTCTGCTTCTCTGCTGCCCCATCTCGACCGTCCAAGGCTCAACACTCCCCCACAACCACTCCGCCAGACGAGCGTTTGATATACAGCTCGACGGCCCTGAGATATCGTATGCTCGGACACGCAGAATATATCAAGGATTTAAGGTTCGGATCCAGCGGCTTGGAGAGTTGCTTGTTTTTCTCTGGTTTTGTTTGCTTCTTCTGTGGCTTAAGTTATATGTCTGACTGACAGCGATATAGGAAGACAGCATGGCTATATAACCATCGCTCATTAACTACACCAGCCCACCTGAGCAAGCCGTCTCCCACACATGGCTGCGTTCCCGCGCGCCCTTTGGTTCGAGGGCTGGTCAGGGACAGGGAGTCAGGGGCCAGAGGCAGCAACCAGCTGTGAGACGGGGCTGCGACTCCATCAGGATGGAGCAGTATGGAGCTGGCACCATCCTCTCAGCCACTAATTTTACCCTTAGTTAAAGTACGGAGTACCCTGGCCCCCTTCCACCAGCCCAGAAGACTAACCTCTCTGCTCTAGTTACGTCCACGATGTCATGGGCTGACGAGGCGCGACCGTTCGCCGCTGTGGAGAGACAGAGACGCAGTCGAAGGGGGAGTAGCGTAAATTATGCACATCCCCTTCTCCAAGCCAACATCTCTCTCGATCCTCTGTTAGGTCTGTCTGACAGCTGTGGGAGACCCTCCTGATGGCTGAGGCAGATGTCTTTCTTTGTCCCCTCGCCCTGCTCGTCTCGATAACGACATCTTTTTCACCATGACGCTGGCCGAGCTGCGGTGATCTCGTCGTACATCTCCCCTTGGCCTCGTCAGCTCTCGTTCTCTTCCCGTTTCTTATTTTATTTTCCATTTTTTTTTTTTTTCTATTATTCTTCCCGTCTTCTTTGCTTCTCTATTTCTTTCGCTTCCTGATTCTCTTCCTTATCTGCTTCTTTTCCTCTCGTTTCGTTTGCGCTGATTCAGAATGACGAAATGCCGGCTCCGTCATTTCATCATCCTTACGGGATCTGTGCTGGCCTGCATATGGTACTTCCTCGGTGGTGAACTCCGAGCCATTGCGGACCAGTACAACGTCCGAGACTACCTCAGAGCCTCGCTAGACCCGAGCAGACAGCCCGTCAGGCCGTCCAATGTCGCTGCTGTCGGCGACAAGGCCATTGTCATGGCTGCCCTGGAGGAGGAAGACACTCACTGGGTCGAGGAATACCTCCCGGAGTACGCAGGCCCCTGGCTACCTATCCTTCCAGGTTTAACACCGATGTGCTAAAGTATATCTACAGCTGGCAGCGGGCGATCTACACCGTCAACCCATCTCCGGAAACCCGACGAGACCCCAAACGTCTTACGACGCCCGCAAACAAAGGTCATGAAGCAATGGCATACCTCACCTACGTTATAGAGCACTATGATTCTCTACCTTCTATCGTCGCCTTCATACACTCTCACCGCAATGGCTTCTTCAGGGCCTGGCACGTCGATGCTCCGCTGCACGACAACGCCATAGCGATGCAGTCCCTGCAGACGGACTATATCAGGGAGAACGGCTATGCCAACCTTCGATGTATGCGGAACTTGGGTTGCACGTCACCTGGCAGACACCCGCTTCTTACACCTGAAGTATGGGGCGAATTGTTCAACGGGACAGCGCAGGGGAAAGCTGCTGCCGCCGCCGCCGCTTCTGCTTCTGCTGGTGCCAAGGGAGATGCGAAAGGTGCTCGAGCCGTCATACCGGTGCCGGATGTGGTGATGGTTGCATGTTGTGCACAGTTTGCTGTCTCAAGGGACCAGATTCGACTACGGCCGTTGGAAGATTACATACACTTCCGGCAGTGGCTGTTTGATACCTCTTTCAACGACGCTACTAGTGGCCGTATATTCGAGTATATATGGCATATAATCTTTGGCAAGGATGCTATCTAGTATGTATCCCTGTCCCTGTAGTACGGTCGTCGCACTACTTACTAACGATATATTCATGTATAGCTGCCCCGAGGAAGATACCTGCTACTGCAAGGTCTATGGCCGCTGCTAGCGCCACCTTTACATCTCTTCTATTTTACTATTCTCGCATTTTTGCATTATATAAACCGGGCTCCCGTTACGTCTTGTATAAAGGTACGGGTAGAAAAGCTTATAGAATTTTGTTAAAAAGCGCTAGTGTATATACCCCCTGCTTTTTTTATGGCGCTTTCGTTATATTGTACATGCATGTGGCTTTATTTTTATTTTTACTATTGTTACTCGTTATATAGAAATAGATACACTCTGTACCCTGCTCGAGACCGAACCTAACAAATTTCATCTCGTTCGGATTTTCGAATACTGTCCAATTGTAATGCTTTCCTGTTAGAAAATATCATATTAGATAGAATATTAGCAGCGATTGATGTTTCAGGATTTTGCATACATCTCTTGCCCTGCATGCGACGAGGGGATTCCAAGGAACCATGATCTAATTTGAACTTCTTTTTTTTGATCTTGATATAAGTCTCCCCTAAGTGCATTTCATCACCTTTTAATATTAGATTTCTAACCTTCTTTTAATCGTAGTTGTACTAGAGGTATTCAACTGTCGGCACTGGTTTCCCGCATAACTCTTCTAAGCGAAGGTATGAGGGTTCTGGTAGGCAGGTATTGTTAGCTCCATCCTTGTTTTCCTCTCCGTTAGGCTCCAGGGGGTTTTGGGTAGAACACCCCGTAGTAGTAGACCCAGTAGTAGATTCAGAATCAGATACAACGTTTGTTAATAAATCGATTCACGTTCGTTCTTTACCCATCCTTCCTGCTCGAGCTTAATAGCTGTTATCTGTAGATCGTTGTAGATATTCTGATCGAAATATCGTGAATCGCTACTATCGTGAACATTCAGCTTTATGAGTCCGGGAACCGTAGCGTAGATCCGCATGACTCTTGCTGCATAAAATCAGCGGTGGTCCTAGTTTTGGCAGCATACCATGTGTTGGACTCGATTTAGCATATCGATGCTCAATAGCGAACTTAGGGATAGGGGTTTCAGTGATACGTTGTTATCTACCGCAGCCTTCGTGTCTTTAACCAGGTCCGAGAAGTATTTGTGCATACTATGCTTGCTGACAATCCGTTCCTCGATTTTCATATTAGTTAGTAGTCTATATATATAGACAGGTTTATTCTCCTGGCCACAACGATGAACTCTAGCAAACGCCTGTTCCTCATTCGGTGGAGCTCATTTTGCATCAAGAACGTGTGGTATTGTGGAGTCGGTGGTGCTTGATTCGCTTGTAGCCAGTTAGGTTCGAGAAGAATCAGGCGGAAAGCTCTCGTGAGGGTATAGCCGGTTGCCAGTATATTTATACTTCCGACAATGACAAATGGCTCATTATGATGAGTCCAAGGAGACCTTTGCTGCATAAAATGAGCGAAGGTCCTAGTTTTGGTAGCATATCATATGTTGGACTCGTTTTAGCATATCGACGCTCAATAGCGAACTTAGGGATAGAGGCTTCAGCTGAGTCGTCCGTAAGCTTGGGCTCGTTTTAACGTCTCCGGGATAGATCCATCAGCTGGTTTATCTGCAGGCTTGGTAATATTATTGGGCCTGCTGTGCCATGTAATCCGTAATTAGTGGCTGAATCCATTTTGGGCCAGATTCGCAAGGTAGGAGGATCGTTCCGTCGTGGAGGCATCAGTAGTTCGTATATATGCTTGACGCACATCCGCCCGCCATGCTGGATGGTTATATGCCCGGTATTTAGAACTGGCAGAGAGGACCACATTCAATCTGTTCCAACCATCGACCACTCGTTCATCGACTTAGAGCAGAGATAAACGCATTCTTCTCGTTGCTCTGTTCCATGATCTGCTTCTGTCCAACAATAATGCTATGCTGCATTCGCTCATCGAGGTAAATGTTGGTAGCTGAGTCTGCTAGCAACGCTTGCAAATTTCTATTCCCTGATAATCCGCCTGCAACCAAGTCCCCTGACCTTCATCAGTTGAGAAGGTTTGTTGTTCTACAACCTGCCAGGGAGGAGTGTTTCGTTGGGCCGCTTCTCATTATCGTGAAGGCACGGCATAAAGCCATGACCGTAAGTCCCCCATTCTGGCGCCATGCATCTCTCAGAGTAGGGAGTCTTTAAACATCTGGGCCGGACGCCGACTACAGCCTGGTAAGATGATTGCACTCTAGGCGTTCGTTGTGTCCATGCAGCGAAATTTTGGCCCTTGTTGGTAGCAAGCACCAGTAAGGGCATCCTTACTGTTGGCTTATGGTAATTGTCAGGGTGACCCCGATGTAGGCGGATATTGAATATGAATATGGGGAGTATCAAAGTGTCATGGTATATATTGAAGGCTGCTCCCCCGAAGGGAGGCAGGGGAGTGTGTTTGGAAGAGAGAAGACACCATCCTGGGGGCAAATCATGGGTATTTTATATTCGACTCCCTTGCAAACGAGCTGTCTCTTCTTCTCTGCAGCGGCCACGACTGTCTCAAGACAACGGCTGTAGTTGATACAATCAGTATCAGGCCAGGCAGGTGAATATAGGAGCTCGACGCAAACGAAGTGAGACCGCCTGAAATGCCACCGCCAGCTGGGTCCGGGGGTATCAGCGAACGGACGTTCTTTGTTCCTGGGGTCAAGCAGAGTCCCAACAGCACTGATGCAAGCAGAGCAGAGAAAGGCCAACGTTGAGGCGGTGTACCTGGAAGAGAGGGATATTCCTTTCATGCGGACCGGGATGTTTGATTGCGGGCAGGCTCGTACAAGCCACAGCAGAAATAATCGCGTCAACAGATAGCTAGCTAAATCGATAAGTAAACAGATAAGTAAACAACCGGATAAGATAAGACATGGATAAGATGAGTAGATAAGTTTATTTGGTGGGTTATAGTCGGGATGAATAGCTAGACAGACAGAACACGGAGTAGTAATTTGTAGGAGAGTCATCACATCATAAGCCGAAGGATAGCAGAGCCAAGTACAAAAAGACAGACAAAAGAAAACCCCAAATATCCCGCAAGCGCCGAGCCTCCCGCCGTCCAGGGAGTACTGTCTGTTCTTTTTGCCCGTTTCCTTCAGGGCATCCTCCCTTCGCGAAAGGACATAAAATCAATCAAAGCACATGAAAAGATAGGTCTAGAGTGCTGACAATATGGGTAAGATGGAAAAGGAAGGTATTAAAAGAGACGAATAAAAGGAGAAATAATAAGAAAGAAATAATGGATAGATAGAAAGGAAAGGTGCAGGAGACAAAGGGTAGGCTTAATCATGGCCGCCAGCTCTCGTCTATCCGCCCTCTGACCATCCGCCGTCCTCGTCTGAGGCCGACGTTGCCTTCTCCAACAAGGGCTTTCCATCGCCTGCCGACGGAGTCGTGGTTCTTGCCCATCCGTCGTGCGCAGTCATTCCAGTCACGCTTGGATAGTTTTAGTTTCTCGAGCACGAGCTCGACTAGTCTTCCGTCGTCTTCGGTCGTCCACTCTGTGCTTGGATGAGGAGGCGAGGAGAATATCGAGGAGCCTATGGCATTGTTTAACGAGTTATGTGTGGCCGCCGTAACGGCGAAGGAAGGGAAGGAGGAGGTTCGATCCGGAGAGGTAACAGTGCTGCTGGATATTTTATCTGCGTTGTCACCTCGTCGATTCCATTGCCGCCGGATGCACGGGGACTGTGTAGGCGATCGTTGCGACTTGGATGGGGTGTCGAGTGACCGGAAATCTCCGGTTTCGAGGCCAAGTGGGAGCTCTGGAGGTGCACGTCTCTGCCTCTTTGGTGTTGAGAACTTGTCTTCATGTTCTCTATTCTTGCTTCCGTGCTGGAAGTCCATGGACTCCTCGTAGACCTCTCTCCTTCTCTTGTTGGCGCCGCGAGGGTACTTTGCGGCTGGCTTGACTACCCTCTTAACTGTGCGCGCAGATGATAATGGGCCTGTAGATGATGAGGTAGATGAAGCAGAGGTGGTTCGGTCCTGAAGATACGGCGTAGGTTTCACTTGCAGAGGGCTCTGGAGACGTTCTGGTTTGGGTGCTCGAGTGCGCGCACGACTGGGTGAGGGAGCAGGGGATACATTTAGCAGCGACTGGAGCGCTCGGCATGTTCCCAGGAGGCCATTTCCAGATCTGATGCCATCGTCAGAAGGCGGCGGAGTGGATGGGAAGAGGTGGGAGGCGGCGAAGCGAGGCCGAGAGGAATATTGTTGTTGCCGTGACTCGCACGACAGGGCAGAAGGCAGAAGCATCGTGCTTGAAGCAATCCGTACACTGCGTATGCAGAAGCGCAAGCCTGTGCCGGGTGTCGGCGACCGAAGCGGGAGCGAAGGCGAATATGTATTCAAAAGTAGGCGTTGTTTGCGCTGTGCCGGCGGCTGCCTGGATTTTTTTTTTTTTTTTTTTTTTTGGCGCTGGGAGTTATGCGCCGGGCGAGTTTTCTTGAGAACGCGAGGTGATATGGAGATGCGGTAAGCTGGAAGAGGTCCTGTTAAGCAATGCGCTTCATGCGCTGTGTCGGAGCGGTCTTTGCGACGGTGCGTGGGTGATTGAACGGCGATGCGGCGGGTGCGGACGGGTTGATTGTAAGGAGTTGGAAACCTGGGGAGGAGGTTGGGAGGGAAAATCAACATAAATCGCACGATCGGGAGGACAGAAAGGCAAAAAACGGGCTCTGACAGGCTAGCGGCACAAGCGGCTTGGCGCGGCCAGGGCTAATTTGGCGCTGCAGGAAAAAGCAACGCCGCGAGGATGGAAAGTCGCAGGGAAGCCGGCTTAATAATGAGGGCTGCGGTGGGGAGAAGGTCGCCGTGAAGAGTGTGCGAGATGGAGGTGTACTTATGGAGTCCCTGCTGCGAGCTAGAGAAAGGGCGGTCCATCATCTGGCAAGGGAACGAAATGCTCCGTCGGGACTAGTCTTTCGTCTGTTGTTGTGTGCGGTGAAGAGGCCGGCATGGGGACCGAGACAAGGCCGCTTGGGATCCGGGCTGGTAGGAGCTAGAGCGTGCGTGGGAGGAAAAAGGAAGACAGCAACAATGTGATGCCTCAGAGGACTATCAAGCGAGGGGACCGGCCTGCCCCGTGGTGGTGCTGTTGAATCATAATAATAATATCTAACCGCCCACCCTGGGCTTTGTTTGTTTGTTTCTGTCTGGCCATCCCTCATAGTTCTTTCGTAGCATAGCAACGGACGGATAAAAGGCAAGGAGGAGTTTGCTCAGCTGGAAGCTGCTCCGCTCAGTTGAGCGAATTGGCTTTTATGCCGCTCTGCACCCCCGTCCGACTACTGCAGAGACAATCTACTTCAAGCTTTCTGCTTCCATTTGGGGGGTTTTTGTTGTGCTGTTCTTGCGACAGCCCTTCCAGGCCGGAACACAACATGTCAACCCCAGCAAGCTACTGGCAGACACCCTGCGAGACCTTCCGCTGCAAATCCCTACAGCTGTCTTGAACCAGTGGAAGACCTCTCTTGACAACAGCCGTTTCGTCTCTCGGGGTCTGGTCGACTCGTGGACTGTGGCCCTCGAAGTCGTCCTCTGTACCACCGAACCTCCCGGGAAAAGCAACTGCATCGCGGTGTCACAAACTGCGCCCACCTGCCCCTTCGATTGGCCAGCCGATCACCCATCCTTGTAGGTTAGTTGAGACGATCCTAAGAAAACGCCCACTGTCCACGACTCGGCTTCGATGGGTAGGAGAATAAAGTTGGGGATGAAGGTACCAGGGTGCTGAAGGTTTTGGAAGGCTGCGGTCCGTCCCATCAAATAATCCCATCGCCTGACTTGGGCCTTGCCCACTCGATATCCGACATCACCATGGCGACGGTGCGTGCCGAATGGAGCCTGTCCAGAGTTTGCCTTCACAGAACCCATTTTATTATCACTCCCCAGTAGCTTGCGTAAAATGTTCCGCAAAAGGTCAGCTGAAGATGGAAAGTTCGTCTCTTCGAAAAAAAAAAAAAAAAAATAATGCCCCTTGTTTTTCCCATGTCTCAGTATCGTCGGGTTTGCGCAGCTGCTGGCTCTTTCGCTAGGCAAATGATAAATCAGCCTTCTGGCCACCAATATCTTTCCCGAGGGCTCGCCACTCCTCACATTAGATTTTTGATACTCTGCATATTTGATATCCTTTCTGTTGATCTGCTCTCTCTTTTCCCCCTATCGTCAGCTTCGCCACACAAGCGAAAAGCCATCAAAGTCAGACGCGCCGCACGCGCGCTAACGCGTCTGTCGCGCTTTTTCGCGTTTCGTGAACCTGCAGAAGAAAACTTTAATCTGACCAATAAAACCCGATCGCCAGCTTCATGTGCTTAGTCATCTTATCTTGCATCGCAACTTCAAGGGAAAGGAAGACAACAGATGACAACTGGAAGGAAAGAAGAGAAAGGACAAAGAAAAAGGAAAAGGTTGGACAGCTTGCTACCAGTCACAGAGATATTTGGATGCGTATCCGCTGTGTTTGGTCCAGCTTTTTTTTTAGGAAAACGGGAAGTAATAAAAGCAAAAATTGAATGACGAGGGGCAATGTTACCACCTTGTCGACCTGTTCGTAGAACAACAGCGTTTTTATTGCTCACCATATCTGACTGCACGACGCTTCCCAGTCAGAGGGTCGAGTACCTCTTCAAACACTTCGTCTTCTTCCAAAGACGATCTATTGCTGTTGGTGTCGCACTTTGGCCGAGAGCTTGCGCCCTTGAAATTGCGCTTAGCAGGCACCTGCTGGACCGCTTCCCTTTCAGGCCTTAGGGCGAGAGCTTCATTCTGATGTTGTTTAACGAATAACGAGGGTGGTGTGGTACTTCTCACCACGTTAGGATCCCATTCGCCTTCAGTCACTGTTTCTGGCTGCTCGTGCCCCATATCATCACCCACACTCGTGTTAGACTGTGTTCCCTTCGGCCGTTGAACTGCTTCGTGATCATTTTTGTTCCATGCTTCGGGACTAAACGGGTTCCTGATACGCGGCTTGGCCTGGTGGTCAGCTGCATCGTCATGGCTGGTCGCTTCAAAGCGGACTCTGGCCCTTTTTGGGCCCATTAATATACCATCCCGCTTTTGAGCCGTCGACCCTTGTGGGGAGTGAGGGGAAGAAGCATCCGTGCTACTTTGTAACCTTTCAGGGGCCTCTTTTTTCTCGGGATCTGAGAGCGTTATCGATATGTTTCTTCCGGCTTTCATTCCAGGATCCCAGCGCGAGATAGAGAAGTAGGATGACTCTCCGATCTCATCCTCAGGGGATGTGCTTTTTAGATCATGTTCCTGGCCCTCCAGGGAAAGTTGGATGGCACTTCTACCTTGCCAGAAGGTGTACTCACCCATGGACCCTTGTGCATACCGCAGGTCGTATAATACCTTCTCTTTTTCGTCTCGTGGTTCCCACCCTTGGATTGCACGCATGTAAAGCTCGTTGAAAGCTTGGCTGTGAGCACTGTTTGTGAACCAGTCATGGTTCAACGCTTCCTCGGCTGTCATCCGTTGCTTATCGTCAAGAACAAGGAGGCCACGAACGAACTGTTTTGCACGGTCACCCACACACTTCCAGTCTTCGTCCTGCTCGAGCACAGCGAGGTTACATTGTTTGGCCAGCTTTCCACAGTATTTACCAGTCACTGGATCGCTGAACGGTGAACCACCTGTCAGAAGGACAACAGTGAGACAGCCCAGAGACCACAAATCAACGGATTTAGTATACCCTTTAGTTAGCTTGTGGCACCCTTGCCCCATTTCACTACAAGGTATATTAGCGCACACATTGTATTGATCCATGATCGAGTAGCATCCTTACGGTGCAGTATACTCCAAAGTACCCATCACGGAGGCCATGCGTGACTTCTTGGGATTTAGATACCGGGCACATCCGAAGTCAGTCAATATCACTCGAGATCCATTAGACAAGGACGTCATTAAAACGTTATCCGGTTTTATGTCTCGATGGACAATGTTTTGACCATGTAAGTATACCAGTGCAATCACCACTTGTCGGATTATCACAGCAGCTTCCACGTCCAAGAGTTTGCCGTTCTTGAACTCAAGAAAGGAGAATAAGTCGCCTGCCGTGACAATGTCTTGAAATATGTATCTGCTTCCATCTCAGAAACTTGGCCACATCTTGATCAACATATGAACACTCACATGGAATTGTCTGTCTTGAAAACTTTCTCGATATTGATGATGTTGGGCTAAAAGTCTTGTTAGCTGCGGTTGCAAGTTGACTGGACGTGCCTACCTCACTTACATGTCGTAGCTTCTGCAAAATTTCCACCTCCCGGTCGTACATTCCTAGCTTGGCTTGTACCCTATATGTGAGACGGCGCTGTTTAGATGCCTTATTTCGTGTGTCTGAAACAGTCGTTTGGGACATTTTTCCTATCTCAATTTGTCGAAGCCTAGCTTTCAAATCTGCTAGGTTCACTATTTTGCAAGCCAGCTGTCTCTTCTTCTTCTTGTCAATGGACATGTGTACTCGTCCATACGCCCCACAACCTAAAGTACGGTTGGTTATGGAGTACTGTTTCTCGAAATGTTTCATCTCCTGGATCTGAACTTGATCAAATGTTGTTTGGAGCACTCTCTCACCCCGATACTCTATCATCACGCTGCTGCAAACATTTACCATATCTCCATCACTTAAGAGGAAACCTCCGCTGGCTTTTCCTATTTTAAGTCCATTCCAGAAGACGCCATTGCGGGACAGGTCTTGGACATACACGAGAGGTGCAACCTGTGTAGGGTTCTCTTGGTCAAATATGATTGAGTAGATACGAAGATGTATGTTGGACACCACAGGGTCATCCACGATCAAGTGACTTGAATGGTCAGCTACCGGTTTTCGGAACTGCTTTGACGACCAGAAATGAGAAAAGTGCCTACCATGTACTTGAATTCCGGCCCACTATGAACTCTTCATTGGCAAATAGCTTCCATTCTATAGATAGTTTAATTTGGGCCACTTTTCTTGCATTTATACCCCAGGTTGCTTCTCTAGAACTGAGAATGTAGCTGGACGGCTTCCTTAACATACCACTGCAAGACTTGCTCCTCGCATTATGGACATACAGAGTCCCAACATGGTCTGGCGAGCATGGCTGGAAGACGCCGCTGTCAACTTCAGAGTGTCTACCGCACATTGCAGACCTAGAATTCATTATACACTTGGGTTTTATTCAGTAAGCACGAACACACTCTCTTCAACCTAAGATGAAGTTGCTGAGGAAGAGTTGAAGTGACGTTGAAGGGATGAGGTCTAGATATACGCGATTAGGAAAACGCACGGACTACATATGAACACACCAATATATCGCGCCAACGCCTGGATTCTGTATCATATCTCGGTAGCGCACCATTTACGCTTTACTGACATTACTGATGGATATGGAATAGAGCACTCTAGACTACGAATTCATGGATTTGCTTCCTATGCCTGTGGCTAAACATAATTTTACTCGGCGGGTTCGATATACCAAGGTTGCCTCAGAATTATATTTTGCACAACACAGCATAACACACCTCGAAAATATGGCGTATACTTAATGGAAAATTTAACTCCTAACAAGGCACACTGAGCTTCGCAGGGATTGCAACGAATATACGCGAATGAGGCTGAGACCCCTGCCAAGGCACTCCTTCTGGACCGTACTAAACAGTGCCTGTTTTTATCTCACAACAGCAATCCTTTCTCCTTACAAACCCCAATTTTTGAACGTCCATTCCTGCGATAGATTCCTTCTAGTATTATGCCATTGCTATGTCGAACGCCTCGCCTGCGGATATCATTACCTATATCGGCGTTCCTCTTGCCGTGATTGGTGTGCTCCCCATACTATACACATGTGTTCGCGCTCTCCTTGTGCTACGGTCGATTCGCAAAGTCCTGGCGCAAAATGGACACTCCAACTCAGCAGTCACAAGAGGTAGCATGATGTCAGGGATCGTTGAAGTTGAGTTGCCTCGCTATACCATAACTCCTCTCGACCGGGAAGAAGATGAGGAATATTGGAAACTTAATCCAAACCGGTCCAGTCTCATTGGAGGCTCATGGTCGTATTTTCACTGGAACTGCCTAGTTACTGGCAAAAAGTTGTACCGGATTCAATACAAGGATGAATTGCTCGTTCCTCAGGCAGAAATAGACTTTGATGAGTTGATTGGATTCCTACTAGATCGTGGAGCTGTACCCGATGAAAATGGCTGGAACATGTTGAGGACAAGTGGACTGTGGACCCCAGCTGGAACTGTCTTACTACGATCTCCCCTGAGCGGATTTGGAGCTGCTTTGAGGACGAGTGTACCTGATGATTCGGATGGTGTCCTAAGCCTTAAGGTTCATTGGCAATGTGATTGGGACCAACGTGATAAGCATTGTCTTCCGCCATTTTGGATGCGGATCGATCAACCGAAGCTGTTCCGTGGTGGAACATTCTCAAGCCCAGGGGCTATCTCAAGAGAAGAAAGTGGATGTGTTGATGATAAAGATGGTGCAGAGCTACCATCTGAGAGCAATGACTCTGCAACTCCAGCTACAGTTTCATCACTACTGGCCCATATAGAGGAAAAGCGTGCTTCTCTTGATAGCACAGACGCCAGCAGCGACAGCATTCGATTCCGCATCGAAAGTGATACCGTTGAGAAAATTTACTTTGAACAGGACCATTTACTCAATGGAAGAACGGCGGAGATGGGCCATTTGGGCGACGCAATCAACCAGTGGTTCGTCTACACTGCTTCGTCATTAGGCCACATCGAAAAAGCAGGAACATGGAGCTTTGCACTGCCACAAAACATTTTACTGGCAACAAGTAGAGAAGCGGTCCCATGTGGTATTATGGAGCTGCTAGGGGTTATGCAGGGAGACGAATTGCCACATTGGGCATCTCCACGACCAAAATTTAATGACCATATGAAGTTCCATAACAGGTTTCTTGAGGATTTAAGGGCCAAGGAGGTTGAGAAAACAATGCCGCCGGCTCAAGCTGAGGCGTCTCGCCGGGCCAGAGAACAGGCGAGATGGGCGGCAATGCGAAACGACCATGCCGAAGAAATGAGACTTATGCGTGAGTATGAAGAGAATCGCGGAGTGGAGGCATTGACGTCTCCTAAGTTGAGCAACAAAGACATTGCAGATGCCTGCTTGCGGTGGCTGATAAGGAACAACTACATTCCCAAAACGTATCAGATCAAGGATCTAGTCAAAGCAGTGTTGTATCTGATGGTTCTAGATTCCATCCAAGCCAAGTCAATTGCTCAGCTGTGTGATCGTTGGACGATCTGGCATCAGTCTCCAGGCATGAATCGGTCGGAAATAGAATTCTTACGGGAGAATACGGCTAATTTCTGCTATGCCTCGTCTATGATATATACTATCCAAAAAGCGGCACGTTCGGAGGCTCAAGTGTCTACAGACATGCAAGAATGCCTCAAAGTATGGAAGAAAGTCCGGCTTGGTTGATAGATGTGAAAGATCAAGCTTGAAGTCATATCATACTTCAAGCAGCGGACCCTCCTTGCATCTTTCGAATCCTTTCCTCAGCCGCTCTGGCACGCCGCTCTCGCTCCAATTTCATTCTCATCTCAGGGGTCATTCCTCTAGTCTCTTCTTCTCGTTTGTCAGCACCGGTCTTCTGCTGGATAGCGGCAATTGTTTGGCGAGAAGCGCGGTTCTTCCCCCCGATCGAGGGGGATTCCTCTTTCCTGAGGCGTTCAACTTCTTCTGTTCGTCTTTTGTTTTCAGCTTCCTGTATCGCCTTTTTCTCCGCTTCTTCTCGGCTGTCACTCTCCTGCTTGGACATTGCAGAGGGTACATGGGCAGCCTCCCAATCCCAAACCTCTTCACCAAGCTCGTGTCGAGCAACCCTGAATGCATCTCGAGTTATACGGTTTCCAGCGAGATCAAACGGCGGTTTCCCATCGTCATTCAGCTGGGTTGGATCCACCCGTACCTTCGTTAGTAACGCGCTAACGATGGCCGGTGAATTGGAGCTTGCAGCAAGATGTAGAGGAGTTGACGCGTGGTAGTTTTGTGCTGAGTTGGCCGGATAGAACCGAAAATCCTGTGGTATTGAATTGCTTGAGATATATGACAGCAGTGCAGGAACCTTTGAACGTCGAATAAGAGCTTGAATCTGGGATGTATGAAGTATCGCGGCTTCATCTTCTTTGGATATTTTAGGCCTCTGAGGTTGTGTTTGAGCAGCAGACTTGGGGGACTTGGAGGCTGCCTCCCGTTTCGCTTCTTCTGCAGCAAGTGCAGCCTCATCGATATGGCTGACCTTGACGCGAGTGAGTTCCGTAAATGCTCTCATTAGCTCTGCCTGGGTAGCTCGGCGTGTGCTAAAGGGGAACACCCGTATTCTGGGGTCTGTATGCTTCAAAACTTGCCCTTCATATGGCCCATACAATATTCTGCGGTTGGTAGACCCAGCAGCTCGAATAAAAAGTAACCGTGCATCGTCAATCATATCCTTCCAGCTCTTCAATAACTGTCTGATTTCACTTTCCAAGGCTGCTTCATTATATCGCCGCAAAGTAGCACCGGCGGAGTGAGCAGCTCCTCCAGCCGCATCATGAGCCGCCTGGCCACCTCCTTGTTTTCGTCTTGTGGTATATCGATGGAATGTTTTATGTGCAAGCACGCGTGCCTGTCTTTCTTCTACTCCAGAGCGCTTCTGAATTTCAGGTGCCAGAGCTACCACCATGGCGGCGAAGTGGCCGCCACCGATCATACATAGGAATATGTGTTCAGGGGATGAGTCCTTTGTGGCCGTGGATGTGCTGGAAGCTGTCTCTGAGGTATCTTTAGCCCTGTGTATAACATGAGGCTTCTTTTGCTTGGCCCTTAGAGAATCAACCAAATAGTTTGGCTCTGTCTGCTCTTCGTTCGTAAACAGAGCTCGATATACCCCTAACGAGGTATTTGCGTCAAGTAGGGGGCTAGTAAACCATAATAACGGCTCTTTGCCTCCACGGCCCTTTCTACTTGAATTTGAACTATCATCAAACGGCACCGGCGAGCTTATCTTGGCTTGTTTTTTCAACAGCGCCGTCAGGGTGGTATCGGGCGTTTGCTGTCCGCTCTCCTCGTCGTCATCAGATTCAGAGTTCGAGCCAGAGATGGATTCATCCAGATCTCCAATCGCCTTATTAAACTCTGCCTCATTAAGTGTTGCTGTTCCCCGTAGTCTCGCCTTCAAATTGTACCGGTGATGATCTGATTTGGCATGTTCTCGTTGTTCTTTGACTTCCTGGAAGGCAACTTGGCAAAGAGCACAAGACATGGAGCCCGGAGAGCTTGTGCTGTCATCGCTATCTCTTGCCCCGGTCGCTGACTCGCTTATCTCTGCTGGCAAGACCCTGCTGCCGTTCGCTGACTTGGTGGTTAGAGAGTCCAGCAGCTCGGCGGGGAGGGAGTACACTGTTTCACCATTATGATTAGTCCTTGTTTACCACGACAGGAGAGACATCGCGAGCTCACCATATAACGGGCGCTTCAGCAGCGCTTCACCCTGCGGAGTACCAGCCGCCATCGCAAGCGGTCTTGTTGTCTAGATAGATGTCTGATTAGTTAGTTGCGGGCGGGCGGATTTGGTCGATGACGCCGAAATGTCCCAGTGGGGGAAGTTTGGCTGCTTGTCAAACAAAAGCCACGCCAAGACTCCCTCGAGCTCTCAACGACTTTGCTGCAAACAGCTTCAGCTTCAGCTTCCCGTCGGCTGTGGAACAATATTTTATATAGCACCGCTCCTGTACAGCTAGCGAAACAAACTCTGCCGTGGCTTGACTGGATGACTCACCTGGCGATGGTTCCGCTGTGGACCAAGAGTCAAGAGTCAAGAGTCACAGACAAGTTATAGGCAGAGAGACCTCGCCCCCTGCGCATTCGTTATTACGTAGGTAGAGACGGCTCGCCGCTCACACCTAATTCCGACTAAATCCGACACCTTCTCTACCGACACGGAAGACGCCTCGTATCCCGCATCTCCAGGCAGCAGAGCAGGGCTCGTCCGTCCATCCTTCGGCCAGCCTCAAGCAAGGAGATCCAGCGCTGCCTGCACCAAGCTCGCAAGCTCTCTCCAAGCTGTTAGTAACATCGTTCCCTTTTCCTTGCTTTTTTTCCGGCTTGTAGAACGACGCGGAAAAGCTGCATTTGTAAGCTCCCTGCTTAGCTAAGCACTAGCTACGTACCGCTCCTCTGGTTGTGTTTTCGAACTATTAAATAAATTAGATAACCGACCAGCTTCGCTCGCCTTCTCTTCAGCAGCCTGTTCCTTTTCCCTGACGTCTTCCCTCCCCCCGAAGCCCATTCTCTGGTTGTTGCTCATCATACGGCCGGGACCATGGCGGGAATTGATGGAGAGCAGGCGGTTCTCGCCCTGTCCTCCAGCGAGATCGCCGACGTTGTTGCCGGACCCTTAGCTCACGCCCGGCATTTCTGCGGCGACCCGGAGGGCTGGGGCCCCGTCAGCTCTATCAGATACGGTCTTACTCCTTGCTTCCTAGATGTGTTCATCTGCTTCGTGGCCGTGTTTGGGCTGGTTGGCTCTGCCGGAGCTCTGTGGCTGCTCTTGAGACATAGAACAGCTGAAAACATCCCACGGAACTGGCACTTTTACGCAAAATTGGTACGCGCAAGAGAGTTTGATGATGACGTATTGAATATAATTGCTAACATGTTGATAGTCATTAATATGGGCTCTTGTTATAGTTGTTGGACTCCAGGCGTCTCTACAAATCGAAAACCTCCCGCATGTCTGGGCCAGTGACTTTAGATTCTGGACCACCATCCTTCTCCTTCTCTCCCTCGTCTGTATTTATGCCGTTCAGTATCACGAACATTGGAGAAGTCGTCAGCCAAACGGTGTGGTGCTCTTTTACTGGCTCTTCTTCCTCATTGCTCATGGCGTCAAGCTTCAGTCGCTGGTGTCACGCCAGTACTATCGAGATCACTTGCCGTACTTTATCACCTTCAACGTTGGCCTGGGTATCGCTCTCCTGGAGTTCATCCTCGAATACTTCGTCAAGAAGAAGCAGAGCGTTTACCATGCATTGGGTGATGAGGATGAATGTCCCTTCGAATATGCCGATATCTTCTCCGTCCTGACATTCTCATGGATGACACCTCTGATGAAACAAGGTTACAAGAGCTTTCTCACCCAGGACGATATGTGGAATTTGCGAGAGCGAGATACTACGCGTGTAACCGGTGAAAAATTGCAAAGTGTATGGGAAGACGAGCTTAGGAAGAAGAAGCCCTCTCTTTGGATGGCCCTGTTCCGAGCATTCAGCGCTCCCTATTTCCGTGGTGCCCTGATCAAATGTTTGAGTGATATCCTAGCATTTGTCCAGCCACAGCTTCTCCGTATGCTCATTAGCTTCGTTGATTCTTACAAGACCAATAACCCGCAGCCAGCTATCCGCGGAGTCGCCATTGCACTGGCTATGTTCATCGTTTCTGTTGTCCAGACTACGTGTCTGCACCAGTATTTCCAGCGGGCATTTGAGACTGGTATGCGTGTCAAATCTTCCTTGACTGCAATGATTTATACAAAGGCTTTGAGACTATCAAACGAAGGCCGTGCTACCAAGTCAACTGGAGATATTGTCAACCACATGGCCGTAGACCAACAACGACTTTCCGACCTAGCTCAATTTGGCACACAGTTGTGGTCAGCTCCATTCCAGATAACCCTGTGCATGATCTCCCTCTATGACCTGATCGGATGGAGTATGTGGGCCGGAATTGCAGCCATGGTGCTTATGATTCCGCTCAACGGTTTCATTGCCAATGTGATGAAGACATTACAGGTCAAACAGATGAAGAACAAGGACCAGCGTACGAGACTAATGACTGAAATCTTGAACAACATGAAGAGTATTAAGCTCTATGCCTGGAACACCGCCTTCATGGGCAAGTTGAACCACGTCCGAAATGATCTGGAACTGAACACTCTACGCAAAATTGGAGCTACTCAAGCAATTGCTAACTTCACCTGGTCATCCACACCTTTCCTGGTTTCATGTTCCACCTTCGCCGTCTTTGTATGGATCACGGACAAGCCTCTCACCACCGATATCGTCTTCCCAGCATTGACTCTTTTCAACTTGCTCACCTTCCCGCTCGCTATCTTGCCGATGGTCATCACTTCCATTATCGAATCCTCTGTTGCCATCACACGTTTGACCGCATATTTAACCTCGGAAGAATTGCAAGACAACGCTGTCCAGTACCAAGATGCTGTTACTCACACTGGAGACGAGGCAGTATCCATTCGGGATGCTACATTCACCTGGAACAAGTATGAGAGTGGGAATGAATTAGAGAATCTCAACTTCAGTGCCCGGAAGGGTGAGTTGAGCTGCATTGTCGGCCGTGTTGGCGCTGGAAAGTCTTCTCTCCTTCAGACTCTACTCGGTGACCTATATAAGGTCAGCGGAGAAGTTGTTGTCAAGGGCCGCATTGCCTATGTTGCTCAACAGGCGTGGATCATGAACGCTAGTGTTAGAGACAACATTGTCTTCGGGCATAGATGGGATCCCCATTTCTATGAACTGACAGTGGCTGCTTGTGCCTTGCTAGATGACTTCAAGACCCTGCCTGACGGCGACCAGACTGAAGTTGGAGAACGTGGAATTTCTTTGTCCGGCGGCCAAAAAGCACGACTCAGCTTGGCCAGAGCTGTTTATGCTCGTGCTGACGTTTATCTTCTTGATGATTGCCTGTCTGCTGTCGATCAGCATGTCGGAAGACATCTTATCAACCGTGTCTTGGGCAAGAATGGAATCCTATCTACCAAGACCAGAATTCTTGCTACCAATGCCATTACCGTCCTGAAGGAGGCTGACTTCATTGCCTTGCTTCGAAATCGCACTATCATCGAAAAGGGAACATATGAGCAGCTTCTAGCTATGAAAGGAGAAGTCGCAAACTTGATCCGCACAGCTATCACCGAGGATGACTCCAGATCCAGCGGAAGCAGTAAAGACGACGGCCTAGGCGGCTCAGAATCATCCTCCACAATGATTGACATAGAGGATGATAGCCCTATCGCCTCAGACAACGAAGAGGCTCAAGAGCGCTTCGCACCCCTTGCTCCTATTCGAAGTGTTGGTGGAGGGAAGCCACGCCGCGAAAGCACCACCACACTTCGCCGCGCAAGTACCGTTAGCCGACCAAACTTCAGAGGGAAAATCACTGATGAAGAAGAGGTTCTCAAATCCAAGCAGACCAAAGAAGGCATGGAGCAAGGAAAGGTGAAGTGGAGCGTGTATGGGGAGTATGCTCGGACGAGCAACCTCTACGCTGTGTCTGCCTATCTGATTATCCTCGTTATGGCACACGGTACGCAGGTAGCTGGTAACTTCTGGCTGAAGCAATGGTCAGAATTAAACGAGAAAGAGGGCATCAATGCTGAAATTGGGAAATATCTCGGAATTTACTTTGCTTTTGGAATCGGTTCATCTGCACTTGTGATTTTGCAGACTTTGATTCTTTGGATTCTTTGCTCCATTGAGGTATGGACATTGTTTAATACTTTGCTATCTGTCCCGTTCAATACTAATATTCTACCAGGCATCACGAAAACTGCATGAGCGGATGGCGTTTGCTATCTTTAGATCTCCCATGAGTTTCTTCGAAACCACTCCTGCCGGACGTATTCTTAACCGCTTTTCCAGGTACGTTAACAGTTTCAAAGTCACTTTAGATCGATGAGAGGCTAATTTTTTATAGTGATATGTATCGTGTAGACGAGATGCTTGCGCGAACGTTCAATATGGTATGTCTGCTTCAACCATTTACTCGATAGCACGTAAGCTAACAATCCATTATAGCTGTTTTCCAACTCCGCCCGCGCTATATTTACTGTCGTAGTTATCGGCATCTCTACACCTTGGTTCCTTATTCTTGTCTTCCCACTCGGCTACGTTTATCTGAGATACCAGAAGTATTATCTGAGAACATCGCGAGAACTGAAGCGTCTTGACAGTGTCAGCAAGAGTCCCATCTTTGCGCACTTCCAAGAGAGTCTTGGTGGAATATCCACTATCAGAGCATTCAGACAACAAAAGCGATTTGCTCAGGAGAATGAATGGCGAATGGATGCCAATATCAGAGCGTACTTCCCGTCTATTAGTGCCAATAGATGGCTTGCAGTGCGACTTGAATTCCTCGGATCTGTCATTATCCTCGCAGCTGCCATTTTCTCAATCATATCTGTGACTACGCACACCGGTATTACCGCTGGTATGGTTGGTCTTGCGATGTCGTATGCGCTAATGATTACCCAATCTCTCAACTGGATTGTGCGACAGACGGTAGAGGTGGAGACGAATATTGTTTCTGTTGAGCGTGTGCTCGAATATGCAAATCTCCCAAGTGAAGCCCCAGATGTTATATTCAAAAATCGACCCACCTTAGGCTGGCCCTCGCAGGGCGCTGTGACATTCAACAACTACAGCACGAGATACCGTCCCGGATTGGATCTTGTGCTGAAGGGAATTAACCTTAACATCAAGCCGCACGAGAAGATTGGAGTTGTGGGAAGAACCGGAGCAGGCAAAAGTTCATTGACACTGTCTTTGTTCCGTATTATCGAGGCAGCCGAAGGCCAAATCAGGTAAGTCGATACAAGTGTTGGGTGTGCACGGGTGAACCGAATTGTCGGGAAAAATGCAGCTAGCTAACCAAGCGTTACCTATCTCAACAATAGTATCGACGGATTGGATATCAGCAAGATTGGCTTGCAGGACCTGCGTGGCCGTCTTGCGATTATCCCACAGGACGCAGCTTTGTTCGAAGGGACTGTTCGAGATAACCTTGACCCCCGTCATGTACACGATGACACCGAACTATGGAGCGTCCTTGGTATGTCAAATTCATGTCTTAGATTTTTGAATGCATTCTCGTGCATCATGCAGACTACTGACTGTCATCAATCCTCAGAACATGCACGGCTTAAAGACCACGTCTCTAGCTTACCCGGACAGCTGGATGCTCAGATACATGAAGCAGGTACGTTGGTTGGGGTTGTTTATTCGATTTCTGGGATCGATTCCGATTCGCGAGCACGAAATCTAATGCATGACTGCGCAGGATCCAACCTGAGTCAGGGACAACGACAACTCGTCTCGATGGCTAGAGCACTATTGACTCCAAGCAACATTTTGGTGCTTGATGAAGCAACTGTAAGTGACCGGATTAGTCCATTCGATTCCAATTTCTCAAAATGTTATGTCCTGATGGGGATGAGCCGTCCTTGGCTAACCGCGATATGAATAATCAATGGATCTAGGCCGCCGTGGATGTTGAAACCGATGCCCTCTTGCAACAGATGTTGCGCAGTAGTATCTTCGAGAACCGCACGATCATAACGATCGCTCACCGTATCAACACCATTCTGGACAGCGATCGGATTGTTGTGCTTGATCGCGGCACTGTAGCTGAGTTCGACACTCCTGCCGAACTCATTCGACGTGGAGGGCAATTCTACACTCTCGTCAAGGAGGCAGGGTTGCTTGAAACCGGCACTTCTTCCCCGGCTGCCCTGGATAAATAAGGGATTACCCGAATAGGCAAAAACAACAGCATGGATCGGAGTTATCCCAGAGTAGCGGGGGAGGAGATGTGGCATCCCGCCCATCGACAAAAAAAAAAAAAGGCCTCCTGGAGTCGTTCCGTTTCATTATCAACAAGCAGTGTGGCTATCATCGCCAGCACTGCCCTCATCGCCCTTATTTTCCTTCCCTTATCTGCCCCATTTCCATTTCCATTTCTTTCATCAAACAGCTATAGAGCAGGGGGGGATGTCGAACAAGGCCTTGACTCGACGGGCCGGCGGATACACGGGTGGGTTCAGCACTGTCCATCCAACCCAGCCCGTTTGTTCGCTTGTTCGTTTATTTATTGTTCCGCCTCGCTTCAAAGGGGATGGTAAATTTTCAATAATTTTGCTTGCCTGACCTGTCCCTGCCTCTACCGAGTCCATGGTTCGACTCGATGCAGCCAACATACAGCAACCCTCTTCCCCTTTTTCTCCTTTGTGGTTTGGCTATTTTTCTCAGCCCCGGGGAATGTTTGGCTTCCGAACCGTCGGGCCCAATATCCCAGCAACATCGCACATTAACATCGAGTTCCGGGATAAAGGGAAGGGTGGTGTGGAGCAAATCGACTCCATTGCTGGGGGTTTTCGGCTTTGGCAGGCGACGATACGGGTTTGCCCAGCGTGCAGCATCGTACTTTGCTACGCGGCGGTACGAAAGGGGAAGAAAGCGAAAAAAATAGTTAGACATTATCACACAACCCGCTGTATATATGTGGCCTGCTATTATAACTAAATTGGCAACCAAAAAAAAATGTTAATAGTGTTCTTTTTTTTTTTTTTTTGCTGTTTATTTTAATATTTTCATCCCTTCCAGCCCTGACATACATTTATTATGTACATTTTGAGATAGCCTTGCAGCAGAGAATCTGCCTTAACCACAGCATCCATGTCCAATATGCCGGCGAGCTATAACCCCTTTCTCCCGCCGTAAGCGGTCCCTCCTCCCTCCTCCACCCGATGCCCTTGAATATGATTCAGTATGTGGATATTAATATCCCTTGACAAAGTCATGTTGCTGCTCTCTGACGAGCAAATAATACTTAATAATAATACGAGGGATAATGCCTGGCACAAAATGGCAGGGAGCTATATCCTCATTTATCAGCCAGCTTGACGACTCCATAACACTGCGTATATGATTCTTAATTTGCCTTCTTCACATTTCTCTGATATACTCCGTGAAGCCAGTAAGACATTATTAGCTTCTCCGCTTCTCCGACACATCGCGTGGACATCTCTGTCGTCTCAATTGGCCTTCCTGGGGCTGTGATGTTTTGCTTGCTTTGCTTCCTTTGCTTGCGTGCATCGACGATGGACCCTCTCTGGCATCCACCCTTCTCCTCCTCCTCTACAGGGGCAAAGCACATGCACATGTCGTCCCTCGCAGAAAGGCAAACAAGACTTGCTTGGTTTCGACTCTTATCCACGCCGGTCGACTTGCAGATTTGCATCGGTGGGCGCCCGCTGTCAATTATGGCTCTGGAGCATGGAGCAGGAGCATGGAGAGCGCCCATCTTAACTAATGATAATAACACTATAATCCACCTGTGCTGGGCTGTGTGGGCTTAGCTGTGCGAGGCCTAAGTTGATGGCCACCCAGAGCTAGCTTACGCATTCCCCCTTTTGCTTCTTCGTGCAGTTGACTATCGTCTCTCCTCTCCTCCCTCCCCCTGATGATAGTCAGGGTTACAAGTTGTGAAGTCATCGAATATGCGAGGGGTGGAAATCTTGAATCTTGCATCTTGGATCTTGCTTTGGGCCTGGTGTGGTGCCGTCATGGGCGTTTTCATGCATGAGTTAATCTATAGTTGCTCCTCAGTATTGGGAACGGGGGTCTCTTGACCTACCTGTCTAGCGAAGTGAATCGACGGCTAGCAACATGTCATGGGACGGAGAAGGGAGGAGTCCACTTCCCTTTCCCCAAGTTCTGAGCAGAGGCCGCACGCCTTCAACACCTCGTAACCATGTGGATGGAGATGCCACCTGAGGGGGTCCCTCGAGGTCGTAAGTCGCCCGGCAAAAAGCATATATATGGAGAGCGGATAGACTTGCTGCATATAGTTCCGCTCGTACTCTGTAGACCGAGGAGGAGTCAAAAAGGGTCTTGGTAAGTTGCAGCTAGTTTACTCCGTAGCTGGAGGTGGCCGTGGGCGAATTGTAAGAACGGGCCGCTCCTCCCGTTCTCCAGAGCGAGCTGTGGATGTCAGTCACTCAGGATATAACTAATGGCCATGGCATCGTCACCTTAGCGTACCTGAGGCAATGGAGATGATCACCGTCCGGTGGAGCGCGGAGAATGAACAGCGGTCCATCTTTCTGGCGCCTCCTTTGCTTGCCTCTTCATCCTCCCACGGTCCCTTCGATCAACACCTTCGAAATCCCGTCCGTCTGGATGAGGAGTGTATACATGTACGGAGTATGTATGTATGTATGTACATAACCCTGTCGGTAGGTTTTCGATGGCCCGAAGCTTATGGGCAAGAGTATATCGACCGTGTATAGTTGTCTCCCCTGAGGCCCAAGTTGCCTCCCGGTGTTGTCGAAGGGTGGAACCGATGCTCAGGCTGCTGGCTGCGAGTGCGGGTAAACCCACTGCACCACCTGCACTGCCTGAGGGTGAGGCGCCGTCTCTGGCGTCACCATCGTCGCCATCGAACGGCATATCCCGAAGGCTGTCCGAAGTCTTGTCTCAGTAGCCATGATGGAGCACGGAGGGTCCGCCGGGGGGGAGGCGCTGGCCGTGCTTTCAATATAACCCTCTAGTTCCAGCGCATGGCTAGCCATCTCGCCCGCATGGCCAGGCAGAGAAGTAATAAATAATAATGATAGTTAGCATGCAGGGCTCGATGGGGCAGCATATGCTGTCAATGACTCGCCTGGCCTGCTGCTCTCGACCAAGGAAGCGATACGAGCCACTATCGAAACGCCAGGCATGCGCGGATCGCCAGACAATTGGGACCGCAGCCGTTCGATCTAGAGCATCCCCCTCACCAGAGTCTTGGGACCGAAATGGTGGGTGGTGGGCGGTGGTGGTGGTGTTGCTTTTTGATGTACACTGCTGTCTACCAAAGTATGTACGGAGTATATACGGCGGATGTAACTGTCTGGCCTGGTGTAAGTGGCCCCCTATCCCATCCCCCCTTTCTAAGAGGAGAATCGACCAGCAGTTCGGACATCGAAATATGTAGCAGATGCACCACCCCATGTTGCTTTTTGAATACCATCTTCACCCCTCGGCTGGCGACTCTATTGGAGTATCTGCCTGCGACGAGGGCGTGCGTCTGTTTCTGATTCCGCTTCCTTCGCCAATCACCGGCCAGAAGAGCCCTTTTCCATCGAATAGTGGCTGGCGATCGGCTTTGTCCTGCAGGCCAGCCAGCAGCCCTTGAGCAGCCATCGAGCAAAGGGAAAAAAAGGAATGCCACAGAAAAAGCCATCCGCGAAGGACTGCAGCAATCTGACAGGCTGCGAGATCGAGTTCTACGCGAACACTAGAACCGTCTTGTCCTTCTTCGTCTGTTTCTTCCGTGCCCTTCTCCCTCCTGTATGTTTCTTGATCGTTAGTTATTACCACCCCCTATCCATCCATATATTCCGCCCATATGACTCAACTACTGGCTAGCTGGCGGCCTAGACCTCGATTGTATTTCTTATGTCTAACGGGCTCCGCACGGCTCGACAAGACAGGACAAGGCAAGGGAGGCCAAGATGGATCCTACCGTACCGTTCAGACGGCATGTGTCCGCTTCCCAGGACGGATAGGGAGAGACAGAGGCAGACCAGAGAAGAAGCAAGAGCAGAACCAGCAGCAACAAGAGAAGAGAGATGCCTAGTGCTGTGCAACTCTTCTTCTTATGGCTCTCTGCAGCTTTCATCTTCAAATTTTTTTTTTTTTTTTTTTTTTTTTTTTTATCTTCTCAAATGAATGGCTTGACAGGGCCAGCCCAGGGAGAAGACAAACCGAGCAGGTCTCCTCCGTGTTAAAAGCAACTAAATGCTCAGCCATCCATCGCTCCTCTCCGCGCCACTGTGTGACCTGGTAGCATGATGACCGCCACTGAAAGGACCCTTTTCTTTTCCAGATATTCTGCCAATTTCAATTTCAGTTTGCTTCTCTCCCCTCTTCTGCTTCTTCTTGATCTTTAATTTTGGCTTTGCTTCCATCTTCCCCGGATGCTGGAGGGTGTTGCCGTTTTTTTTTTTTGCCATGGAGACTCATTGTTTTTTCCTGTCCTGCGCACACGAATAACATAGTTATATGGGGTCATTATTTGGCCGCAATGTACTCCGTACAGAGTATGCCTGTATATCGGTACCTCTTGGTTAAGATACCTGGAAAATATACTTCTCCGTACCTTGTTCGGTATAGCGCAATCCGACATGCTGTCCTGTCCAGGTGGGAAAAAATGACCTATATCATTGTGCGGCAGGTTTGAGATGCCGCCGGAGTGGGCAGCCAGTCAATCAAGCGGGTGGGTGCTCCGTACATAAATGTATATATAAAGTACCCAGACCGACCGCCTGTGCTTTCTCTGGGGCCCGCTTAACTATACATAAGTATACTCCGCATGATGGCAAAGGTAGCAGTCAATTGAACCCCGGCCTGTTTGTGGCGGGACAAGCAAGTTCGGCATGCACGAAGCATGTTAACGGGCTGTAGGGTGTAGTAGTGTTCGTCGTCGTATTCGACGGCGAGTGAAGGATGAGAAAGAAGAAACGGACTGGCGTTGGTTTCTTCTTGGGAGGGAGGGGGAATGGCGGAAGGCGAAAGAGACTATCAAACTGGACCGAGCATTTGAGCATACAACTATACTCAATACGTATGTATACTTATATATGTGTGTATAAGCATGCCGTAGCCAGCATCCGTGGTTTGAATAGTTCAATCGACTTGATTTTATGCCTGTCCAGGGTTCATTCAATTGCAATGGCATGAATATAAGCTCAACCAAAAGCTGGCGTCTTCTCTGAGCATATTAGAGCAGAGCAAATGGGAATATCGCCAGTTGCACTCCGTATTCCCTGCGTGCATTAGACGAACGCTGGGGGAGAGAGAGAAAGCGAGAGTGATAGAGCCAGAATGCCTGCAACTGCACTGCAGCACTCAATTCTTCGTCCTTCCTGAGATTTCAAATAGTTAGCTAGTTATTCCTTTTTCTCTCTCTCTCTTTTTTTTTTACTGCGAAATTTTCTGCTTCGTTTTTTTCTCTTTGCTTCTTTCTTGCGCAAAAGTAGCCCGGGTGACCCGTAGGCAATCTGTGGAGTAGCAAGAGGAAGACGAAGAAGCCGCCAGCGAAGTGTAAGCGAAACTCTGCATAGGGTTGAGGACGAGAGATGCAGAAGATGATAAGTCGAGACAGCCAGATGCCGGCAGCGAGAGACGAGAGGCTGCTGGGGACGGCCGTAAAAGAAGAAAAAGCCTTTGATCTAACCATGGTCGTTCTGCATCCCGTTCTCCAGCCTGACCATCGGTTAATGATGAGCGATCCCAAGGACCAGAAACCAAGAGACAGGACCCAAGGGCACCCGTCCGTCCGGCTGGCAAGGTTAAGAATATCTCCCGAGACCCAGGGCCCAGAGTGGTGGATGCTGGACGGGTACCATCAGCAAGCGGCGGCAACCAGCAAGCAATCAATCACTGTCATCTGCCTTTTTGAACGTCGTTGTCACATCACATCAAGGCGTGAATTTTAGCATGAGGCAAGGAGAGAAATGATCGCTGGCCCAGGGCCAGGGGTGTTCTCCAAGTTGCCGGTCTAACTAACCCTCCCCCCTGGCTCGAGGGCAAAAGGAAAACACAGCGCAGGATCAAAAAGAAAGGAACGCCAGCAGCCTCTTGTTGACGTCGCCGCTCGATCACTATGAACATGATCGGCTTGGCTCGAGCGGTTTGAACTGACCATCAACGGGTTTTGGCTTGGTTGGCGATGGTAGCGAGCTAGCTTGTCGATGGTAATAATATTTTAGCGAGATGGTTGAATGAATCCGAGTACAGAAGGAGAATAATACGGGCCACCCCCTGCCCTGTCCTGCTGCAGTATGTAAGAATTAGCCATATCTGATGCAAATATGATAGCTAGATGGAGAATATGAAATAATCTCTCTCCGCTGGAGCTGTCTGCGTGCGTTATCGAGGAACCAGAACCAAGCCTCCTGTGCATAATATATGCAATATCAAACAGGGGATGGCAGAGGGTTCCGATTATTCATTTTATTATTAGCAGAGCTCTCTCTCCCGCATAACCTGCAAAAAAAAAGAAAATTAAGAGTGAAAACTTATGCATGATGCAGCATCGCTGGGCTCGTCCTTTTTTTCTTTTTTTTTCTTTTTTAATATTCTCTTGCGTTCTTCCTGGGCGGTTGCAGGTACGATCGTAACTGGAGGGAGACTCCCCCCCCCTGACTCCCTGCTCTGCTGCTTGAGCCTTGCTTTCATGCTTCCGGGGAACAGGGGAGGGTACTATCCGTGGCTTGGGATGGCGTCCCTTGGCCTGCTTGAACCTGAACAGGCTGAGAGCATCGAGCTGCCTGCTGGCTCGAGCTGCTCTTTTGGCAGCGCCTTGTCAACGACAACGGAGGGTCCATCCATCCATCCATGACCTTGACCATGACATGAAATGACATTTTGACAACGACGATTGACGCTTGATGATAAGTTAGCCGTCGGCTGGCTAGTGGCATGAAAGCGTCCGGGCGGCTCGAGTCAGTCAAGAGTACGTACAACGGTCGATGGAGGCGTAACGACGCACAAAGGGGGGCGATCAACGACCCAAATGCTGTGCGACTGAATTATGAAGAGCCAAAGGAACATCTTCTTGGTTTCTTCAAAAACCGTTGCTTTTTTTGTTTACATTTCTGTATTTTCCTGCTCGCTCACTGGCCGGCCGGAGAGGTCTTGTTCGAATATCTCTCGACGTCATTTGTCCTTCACACTCTTTTCCTGCGGCCGTGACTGGGCCGCCACTGGGAGTCTTTTGTATATATTGGCCCTCTGGTAGCACTCTGCTTGCTGCCTGCCTGTCCCCATGACAGCTCGAGACAGCGAATAGAAGGCTCTGCTGGCCCTTATTATTCCCTTATTCGCCGTGTAGGGGCGTGTATGAATAACGACGATGGGACACCAGCTTCATCATCGTCATCAGTAGCAGCGGCAGCATCATGATTGTCGCCGTCGTCGTCTTCATCTATATCCCGTCTGATCGCTGTGGCTATCAACAGGATGGCAGACCCATTCCCCCCCCCCCACGCAGCCTCACTTTCTGAGCCATGGTTTATTTTTCTCCCTTCCGCGAATTTAAGCATATTAGACCCTCTGCACTTTACTTCTTCTCTTCTGCTTCTGCTGCTTCTTCTTCTTCTCTGTCTCTTCTGCTTCCTCGGGGTGGCGGGTTTACCCCGTGCTATCATTATTGATTTTTCCCCTGAACGCACATTTACATTGGTTACATGCCACGGGGCTCAACAGACGGACAAGCAGGAGGGAAACAGACACAAAAGGAACAAGAAGAAGCAGAAGAAGAAGCAGAGAAAAAAGAAAGCATGTCGATTCCACTCCAGATCTTGGAACGAGCGTTGGCATCAAACCGGGCTCAGCGTCGCACATCAGTCTAGGGCCAAGTTCCAGTCAAAGCAACGCTGCCGTCAGGAGAAGTCGAAGTCGAAGCTGAAGCCGACGTAGCAGCGGCAGAAGCAGATCAGAAGAGAATAAGGAGAAGGAGAAGCAGAAGCAGAAGAAGACGAAGAAGCAAAAAAGGAGGCGAAGAAGGTTTTTTTTCTAGAGGCAGATCTCGCATGTTTGACTTGAATCAGGACGAACGGACGAAGCTTTCGTAACCTGCCTGGCTGCAGTATCAAAATCACATCTTCTAACAGGCAAAGTAAACCGACCAGCTCTCGGTCGGTAGCCAGCCGGGTAAAGTGGACGGAGAGCCACCTTTCCTGTCTCCTGTCTCTCCTGTCTCTGATTCACCATCCATGGAGCGGGCGAGCGGCAGCGGCAGCGGCAGCGGTGCGTACCGTCCTTGAATCATGGACCCGGAAACATCGTACGCTTAGTTAACTACCTTACAAAAAGAAGATTAGTTAAAATATTTTTTTCAGGAAAAAAAAAAAAAAAAAAAACAAGGGCCAGGAAATATATTAAAGGTTATTTGATACTTTTTCACAAGATGATCGGAAGTGGTTCGATGTGCAGGGGAAGAAAAGTCTGATGAAGCCGAAGAGGAGCATACGGGAGTAACATGCTGGCCTGCAAGAGTTATACGCAATCCGCGGTGCAAGTATGGAGTACATACTACTGCTGGCTGCCGGCCAGGGGATGCTCTCTGCAACCTCTTTGGCGGAGGATACGGGAGTGAATTGTTCAGATATCAGTCTGTCTGCCGGCGAGATGTGATCTGTGCAGTTTCTGCTCGGATTCTCTCTGCTCCCTTGCATAAAAAATAGAAAAAGGGACTTGTACACGGTGAGATGGTGAGACAGAAGAGCTGCACACTTAATTGACGGGCTCTGACTGGCTGGCCCACGGTGGTTAAGTTATGGAATGTAGACACAGAACTGCATGCTCTGTGTGCGGTTGAGGCGCGTGTGGGAGCCCATGTGTGGTTGTGCATGTATATTGCTGCTTAAACCGTACATACATGTGGATGTCGTTAAGGTACACTACCTTAATGATAATAATAGTAGTTGCTAGCTATAACACCGCTGCTAATGGCCTGGA